GATGATTTCTGCCTATGATGTTGGCAAAGAGTAAAAAGATTTGTAATGACCTGTGCTAGTGAGGAGGTGTGTGAACTCATTTCTGGAGGATAATCTGGTAATAGGGATGAGCGTTGTGTGTGTGTGTGTGTGTGTGTGTGGTAAAAAGATACGTAATATAAAAGTTACCATTTTAACCATTTTAAGTGTCATTAAGTAGATCCACACTGTTGTGCAACCATCAGTACTTTTTCATCTTCCCAAACTGAAATTTCATATCCATTTAATACCTCCTCTTGGTTCCCTTTGCCCCAGCCTCGCGTAACCACTATTTTACTTTCTGTCTCTAAGAATTGACTATTCCAGGTACCACATATAACTGGAATTGTACAGTATCTTGTTGTGACTGGATTATTTCACTTAGCATGACGTCGTCACGGTTCATCTAGGTTGTAGCACGTCAGAATTTCTTCCTTTCTATTTAAAAATTTTTTTTAAATTTAAAAAATTTTTCAAAATTTAAATTCTCACCTGAGATATGTTTATTGATTTTAGAGAGGGAGGAAGGGAGAAAAAGAAACATCATGTGAGAGAGAAACATTGATCAGTTCCTTCCTGCACGTGCCCTGCCTGGGAATCGAACCCACAACCCTTCGGTGTATGGGAGGACACTCCAACCAACTGAGCAGAATTTCCTTCCTTTTAACGGATGAATAATATCCCAGTGTATGTATATGTCACATTTTGTTTATTCATCTGTTGATGGACACTTGGGTTGTTTCCACCTGTTGGCTATGGTGGATGTTGCTGCTAATTAATGGGTGTACAAATACCTGTTCAAACCTCTGTTTTCAATTCTGTTGGTGTATGCCTAGAAGTGGAATTGCTGCATCATATGCTTCTATTTTCAATTTTTTAAGAACCACATAGTGGCTGCATTATTTTACATCCCCACCAGCAATGCATGAAGTTCTAATTTCTCACTCAATTGGTGTGAAATGGTATCTCATTGTCGTTTTGATTTGCATTCATGATGTTGAGCGTCTTTTCATGTGCTTGTTGGCCATTTGTGTATCTTCTTCAGGTCCTTTGTCCATGTTTTAATAGGATTGTTTGTTTTTGAGTTGTAGGAATTCTTTATATATTATGGATATTAACCCTTTATCAGATATGTTATTTGCAAATATTTTCTCCTCTTCCATGGGTTGCCATTTCACCTTGTTGATAGTGTCCTTTGATACACAAGTGTTTTTAATTTTGATGTAATTCAATTCATCTATTTTTCTTTTGTTGCCTGTGCACAAAATCATTGCTAAAACCAACATTATGGAGCTTTTGCCCTTTGTTTTTTTCTAAGAGTCTTATAGTTTTAGATGCTACATTTAGGTGTTTGATCTATATTTAGTTATTTTTTATATGGTGTTAGGTAAGGGTCCAACTTCACTCTTTTTCATGTGGATAGCTAGCTTTCCCAGCACCATTTGTTGAAAAGAGTATCCTTTCTCCATCGAATGAGCTTGGCATTCTTGTTGCAAATCACTTGATCATATATTCATGGGTTTCTTTTTGGGTTCTCCACTCTCTTATCATTGGTTTCTATGTCTTTCTTTACACCAATTTTAGTAAAAACCCAAACTGTTTTGATTACTATAGCTTTACAGCAAGTTACTATAGCTCTATATTGAAACTCTATTGTGAGTTTTGAAATTTATTTAATTTAAATTACTTAAAATTTAACTTTAAGTGGCCATGTGGGACTAATGCTTTCCATTTAGTTTTTAAGCTTAAACAAGAAAGCAGAGAGACATTTCAAACTTGAGTTTTGACTACGTGTCATTATTGGTTTTTCCCCTTCCCATTCCAGTTGAACTCTAGAATTCACATTCATTCTCTACTGCTCACACTAGGGATAGTGGGAATAATTACCTGTATATAATTTTCTATTGAATGAGGCAAGGAAAAAGGCCTTGTTGTGGGACTGTTACCAAGTTCAAGGAGTTTGCTGCCTGGGGTGTTCTACTCAAGAATGAGACATGGTTGTCCCAAGGTCATTTTATTTACTTGCAGCAAGTAAAGAAGACAGGAGGTTCATATCCAAAGCTCTGTCTCCCAAAGGGAGGCTTAGCCATTGCTTATATACACTATTTGGTCAATTACATGTTGATTTCTTCTTTGCAATTGGCTGGCTTATAGAGAATGGGTTCCTGTCAAGATCATCCTGTTTATAACTGTTCTGTAAAATACTGTGTTGCTATACTTTAACATTTAGCAAGAATAGTATTTAGTAAGAATGGCCCAGAACTTGAGACCCTTGTCCTACACAACAGGACCTTATGGGGAAAATATGGCCAGCTTCTTTATTTGTTCTTTAGAGTACTTAATATTTTCTTCTGAAGGGACACTGGTTATCTTCTTTTCAAAAAGCACAGGTGCCTGGCTGGTGTGGCTCAGTGGTTGAGCATTGACCCATGCACCATGAGGTTGCCGATTTGATTCACAGTCAAGGCACATGCCCAGGTTGTGAGCCAAATCCCCAATGGGGGGCATGCAGGAGGTGGCTAATCGATATTCTCTCTCATTGGTGTTTCTATCTCTCGCTCCCTCTCCCTTCCTCTCTCTCTAAAATCAATAAAGAAAAAAAATTAAAAACAAATAAACAAAAAACAAAACAAAAAGCACAGGTGGTTTGTACTCAGTATTTCTCTACAACCTAAGAGTGTGTGCCCTGGCCAGTTTGCTCAGTGGTTAGAGCCTCGGCCTGTGGTCCAGAGAGACCCGGGTTCGATTCTCGCTAAGGGTGCATACCTCAGTTGCAGTTTGTCCCCGGCCCTGGTTGGTCGTGTGGGTGGCGGCCACTTGATGTGTCTTTTTTTTTTTTTTTTTTTTTATCCTCACCCGAGGATATTTTTCCATTTTTTGTACAGATAGAGTGGGAGGGAGAGAGAGGAAGGGAGAGAGAGAGAAACATCGACGTGAAGGGACACATCGAGTGGCTGCCACCCGCACGACCAACCAGGGCCGGGAACAAACTGCAACCGAAGTACGTGCCCTTAGCGGGAACCGAACCTGGGTCTCTCCGGACCACAGGCCGACGCTCTAACCGCTGAGCCAAACTGGCCAGGGCCTGATGTGTCTTTTTTATGTCAATGTTTCTCTCTCTCTCCCTCCCACTCTATCTGAGCAAAAAATGGAAAAATGTCCTCAGGTGAGGATAAAAAAAAAAAAAAAAAAAGAGTGAGTGCAGGGAAATCTGACAGCAAGTTAGAACTGTAATCACACCTTCCGTTTATTTCTTTTTTATATTTTTATTGCTTTTTAAAGCAAGAGGGAAGGAGGGAGGTATAGAGAGAGAGAGAGAGGGAGGGAGAGAAAAACATCAATGTGAGAGTGTTGGTTGGCTGTCTGCTGCACGTCCCCTACCGGGGATTGAGCCCAAAACCTGGGCATGTGCCCTGATTGGGAATCAAACCGGCAATTCTTCAGTATACTAAATGACGCCCAACCAACTGAGCCACACCAGGCATACCTTTTATTTATTTATACAGTGCTTTACAGTTCACATGCATTATCACCACTGATCTTCAACCATATTTAGTGGGTGAGGAAATTGAAGTTTAGGAAGGTTGAACACATCCAGAACTAATCATTGGCAGAGTTAGCCTCAAAGCAAGTCTTCTAACCAATTTTATAGTTGGCTTTTGTGAAAGACCAAGGTGAATTCATTCACTCAACCCATGTTTATTGAGCATCTACTATGTGTCAGCACTGTTGCAGGCTCTGGGCATCAGCGGAAACCCCCAAAACTCGTTTAGGCAAGACCTCATCTGCTTTGCTGGCCATTTTCAGTGGCTAGAGCAGTCTGGTTGGCTTCCCTTATTACCTATTTTCTTATTTTTTAAACCCTCACCCCAGGATATTTTCCTATTGACTTTTTTAGAGTGGGAGGAAGGGAGAGAGACACACACACACATTGACTGGTTGACTCCCACAAGACCCCGACTGGGGCCCAGGATTGAACCCAGAATTGGAGTATGTGTCCTTAACTGGGAATCCTGACAATCTAACCGCTTAGCCAAACATACTAGGGCCCCTTATTAGCTTTTTAAGAGACTCTCCCTCCCATTATTATTATTGAGGCATACTGTTTTTTCTCTTCAAAGAGATTATCATGCTTCCAAGTGGCAAGTTTGATCCCTGCTTGATTTTTCCTTCTTCCCTCAAGTTAATCTTCAATGTCTTTTCTTGTTCATCATTGTATCTCCACTCCTTCCAGAGTGCCTGACACATAATAGGAACCCAGGATATATATACACATATATATGTATATATGTATACATACATATATATATTTTATCCTCACTGAGGACATTTTTCCATTTTTTGTTCAGATAGAGTGGGAGGGAGAGAGAAACATTGACGTGAAAGGGACACATCGAGTGGCTGCCTCCTGAACGACCCAACCAGGGCCGAGGACAAACCACAACCATGGTACGTGCCCTTAGTGAGAAGGGAACCCAGGTCTCTCTGGACCGCAGGCTGACGCTCTAACTGCTGAGTCAAACCGTCCAGGGATATATATATTTTTTAATTTTATTTTTCTTTATTGATTTTAGGGGGAGAGGGAGGGGAGGGAGGGAGAGACAGAGAAACGTTAAAGAGAGAACACCGATTGGTCGCCTCCTGCATGCCCCTCTCTGGGGATTGGGCCCACAACCTGGGCCTGTGCCCTGACTGGGAATCGAACCGGGGACCTCTTGGTGCATGGGACCATGCTCAACCACCGAGCCACACCAGCCAGGCTCCAGAACATATTCATTCACTGATTGGATATACATATTTCTTAGTGAATTCTCCAGGACTGGCCTCACAAGTTAGACCACGCCTTGGGGACATCCATAGCCACGCCCCTCCTCTGTCCCTAGAAAGAGTGAAGGGAGCCCAGCGTTGGCCCCGCCCCCACCGTGACGCAGGTACACGTGATGCGCGCCGGCGCGCGCTGTTCCGGAAATCGCCGCCGGTGTCTTCGTCGCTGCTGCCTCAGTCGCCGCTGCGGTCGCCGCGGAACTCTGCAAGTAGAACGGCTGAGGCGGGCCCGGGTTGGGCCGGGTTCCGGCCATCCTACAGAATGGAGATAATCAGAAGCAGTGCGTGTCCACCGTGCACCTCCCGCGTCCCCACGGTTCCCCTTCACTCGGCCTGCTGGGCCCGGGTCACGGCGGCCGATCTGCTTAGTGGGGCCTGGGGCTGAAGCAGCCACTCAGGAGTTTGCTCCCCTAAGCTTCTGTGCCTCTTGGAGGCTTGCCCCTCTCTGGCCCGTGCACCCTTCGGGCCTTGTTCTCCTGCCCCGGCACCCCTCAGGACCTTCCGCCTCCCTGGTCCGTACACCCTCAGTCCTTGTCCCTTTCCGGCCCATGCACCCCTTGGGGCCTCGACTCCCTTCGTTCCGTGCACTCTTCGGGCCTTGACGCTCTCCGTTCCGTGCATCCCTCCAGTACTTGTTCTCGGGCCCCAGGCCCTAGGAGCTCCTAGGCCCCCTTTCCCTCTTCCTTTAGGCGTTCGTGGGCAGAAAGCCAGGCCACCGGTTCTGAGCTTCTCGGTTTCTCCGCAGATTTTAAGACTAATCTTCACAAAGTGTACCAGGCCATAGAGGAGGCGGACTTCTTTGCCATCGATGGGGAGTTTTCAGGTATCCTTCTCTTGCAAGCTCGTGGCTAGCAATAGGTAGCTCTGACTCCCTGCCCCTGATTTCTGCTTTCTGGACCCTTTTCCCTGTTTATTGCCTTGGGCAAGTGCCACAAGTTTCAACATTTCCTCTTAAACGTTTCAAAAAGTAGGGAAGTGGGTTTGTGATTGTTGGGGCTCTGAGGGTTGCAGATAGAGAATATGGTTTTGGTGCGGCCTAGAACAGTTTGACAGATGGGTGGTAGAGAGCTTGAGGGTTAGGTCAGGCTTATATTTTGTGTGTGTGGTAAAATATACATAACAAAATTGGCCATTTTAACCATTTATTTTATGATTTTAGAGAGGAAGGGTGAGAGAGAGAGAGAGGGATAGAAACATTGATGAGAGAGAGCATCCATTGGCAGCCTCCTACATGCCCCCTATTGGGGATCAGGCCCACAACAGGGGTGCCCCCACTGGGAATCGGACCGGTGACCTCTTAGGGCATGGGTCGATGCTCAACCACTGAGCCAAACTGGCTAGGCCATTTTAAGCATTTAAAAATAGTTTTTTGTTTTTTTATCCTCACCGGAGGACATTTTTTGATATTTTGTTCAGATAGAGTGGGAGGGAGAGGGAGAGAGAGAGAGAGAGAGAAAGAAAGAGAAACATCGTTGTTAAAGGAATACATTGAGTGGTTGCCACCCACAGGACCCAACCAGGGCCCGGGACAAACTGCAACCAAGGTACGTGCCCTTAGCGGGAACCAAACCCGGGTCTCTTCAGACCGCAGGCCAACGCTCTAACCGCTGAGCCAAACTGGCCAGGGCTAAAAGTAGTTTTACAGTTCAGTGCCATTAAGTACATTCACATTGTTAAGCAACCATCTCCACCATCCATCTCCTGGATTTTTTCATCTTCTCAAATTGAAACTCTATACCCATTGAACAACAACTCCCAATTCCTCCCTCCTCCCCTGCCTCTGGCAACCACTATTTCTGTCTATGAATTTGACTGCTTTGGGCATTTCCTATAAGTGGAGTCATACAATATCTGTCCTTTGTGGCTGACTTTAGAGTCAGGCTTTATAAGCATTTGTAGAAGTGTTTATTGCCTACCTTGGCATGAGTATGTATGTATGTGTGTAATACTTTACCAACACATACAGCTGCGAGGATTTTTTTTTCTTTCTTTTTGTATCAAAGACTAATTTTTAAATTGTTGAAGTTGATATGAACAGTAGACTTTCTTTGGTATAGATATCCACTTTCACTAGCTGATTTTACATGTTTAAAAAACTCTAGCTCTTTCTAAAGAAATCCATGCTGGGAGTAAATAGGTCCTTGGCTTTAATTATACAGGGGTGGGCAAAGTAGGTTAACAGTTCTTATAGAAAAAGACAAGCAGTTTATGATAATTACAGTAGCTTTATTAAAAGAAGGTCACAATGGCCCTGGCCTGTTTGGCTCAGCGGTTAGAGCATCAGCCTGCGGTCTAGACAGACCCAGATTTGGTTCCCGCTAAGGGCATGTACCTCCGTTGCAGTTTGTCCCTGGCACTGGTCCGGTCATTGGGGAGGCAGCCACTCGATGTGTCCATTTCATGTCAATGTTTCTCCCCCCCCCATCTGAACAAAAAATGGAAAAATGTCCTCGGGTGAGGATAAAAAAAGAAGGTCACAATGGCACAGGGCACTATGGTATGATCTTGTAAGTGCTCAATTGCTGGCCGGCCTTCATTATTTACACATTCTTTTAGTCTACTTGCTATACTCAAATACACTTTGGCATAGAGTTTATTTTAATCCTCACCCGAGGACACTTTTGCATTTATCTTCAGATAGAGTGGGAGGGAGAGAGAGAGGAAGAGAGAGAGAAAAACATCGATGCGAGAGAGACACATTGAGTGGCTGTCACCCACGCGACCCCAACTGGGGCCGGGGACAAATTGCAACTAAGGTACATGCCCTCAGCAGGAACCGAACCCGGGACTCTCTGGTCCATGGGCTGATGCTCTAACCCCTGAGCCAAACCAGCCAGGTCAGCACACAGTTTTTGTACCTACTCTGGCTCTCCCCTTTACATGCCTTTTCTAGTTGGAGTCATTCTCTGGGAAACTAAGAGTTTTCACCAGAAATAATTTTCTCTTGACCTCGAAAATGCCTTTGTTGTGTAGATGTTACTCCAAACTGTGGGCCAAGACTAGGACTCTAATAATAATATACTTCAAAATTTGCTGATACCTAGTTATGCATTAACAATTTGAATGCAACAAAACTTATTCAATCAGAGGTATTATTTTCTTAAATCATTACTGTGTTTTGAAACCTATTTTACATATTGGAACTGCCCATTTGTCTCAAATTGAAACATTCACATCTTTAACTTCATTGTTAATAGAGTTTAGCTTGGTGGCCAGTGAAGTGCATGCTTATTTTGAAAGAGTGAAGTAAGGAGCACTTTGTAATTCATGAAAATATAAAATTATAGGGCCATTGAATAGTTGACTGATATTTTTATATTAGTATTTACTAACAAGTTAAAAACTTTTATTTCTTACAATCTAGGAATCAGTGATGGACCTTCAGTCACTGCATTAACAAATGGTTTTGACACTCCGGAAGAAAGGTATCAGAAACTTAAAAAGGTAAGTGGATATGCTAGGAAATTCTTTTCCTCCCCCATGGTGGTCCTCTCTACATTGAATTATAAATAATTATTAAACTTGCATGCACATTGTCTTCTCAACACCAGCTATGAAATAATACTTTATTGCTATTTAAAACAACAGCAAAAATAATTGTTTGCTGGAAAACATTTTGTGGGAAGGGTTAGTATTTTCAGTGTTAATTTGATTTATAGGAAATATGATGTAGTTATTTTAATTATTTAGAAATAGGCCTGATATGATGTTCTGGATGGTAGATCAATGCTTAATTGGGAAAAACATTAAGAAATGGATATAAATTAATGATGTTTCTAATACATAATCTGTAATCTGTTCTAATTGGAAGTATTCTTGCCAAAGTCAAATTGAGTAATTAGAAAGCCTACCTGATTGAGAATACTGTTGCCCCCATGGAATATACAGCATTGTTTTGACAGATGTTTTATTTCCCTTTTCCAGCATTCCATGGACTTTTTGCTGTTTCAGTTTGGCCTTTGCACTTTTAAGTATGACTACATAAATTCAAAGTAGGTTGTTTTAACAAATGTTGGGAATTCTTTTGTCGTGGCATAATGTAACCCCCTAAATCTCCTTTTATCTTATTTTCCCAGGTATATAATAAAGTCATTTAACTTCTATGTTTTCCCGAAACCCTTCAATAGATCCTCACCAGATGTCAAATTTGTTTGTCAGGTTAGTAGCATAATTGCATTTTTTTTTTCTGTTACCAATTGCTGATGAGTCAGTGTGGATATGTGGGCTTTGGGCAAACCATTTTACCTCTCTGACCTTTAGTTTTATTTATTTTATCATATATATATAATGTTATTATTAATTGTTTAGAGAAAGAGGAAGGGAGAGAGATAGAAATATCCATGTGAGAGAGAAACATAGCTGCCTCCTGCATGCCCCCTACTGGGGATTGAGCTCGCTACTGACCAAGAATCGAACCAGGACTGCTCAACCCATTGGATGATGCTAAATCCACTGAGCCACACCAGCCAATTTATTTTATTTTTTAATTTTTCCTTTTTATTGAACTTACTAGTGTGACACTGGTTAACAAAAATAAACAGGTTTCAAGTGCACAATTATAGAACACGTCTATACACTGTATCTGACCTTTAGTTTTAGGGTTGTAAATTAATTTGGCTGTTATTTTCCCCTTTACTTTGGAATGAATTAAGGAATAAGACACAAGCGACAGGCAGAACATGAGCTTTATTATTAGTAAAACTTTGAGAACTGTATGAAGTATTCCAGGTGTAGCCACAGAATGGTTTTGAGATCTTGTCTTTGTAATGTGGCTCTATTTGGGAATTTTTTTTCTTTATTAATTTTAGAGAGAGAGGAAAGGAGAGAGACAGAGATAGAAACATCGATGAGAGAGAAAATCAATTGGCCACCTCCAGCATGCCCCCCACTGGGGATCAGGCCCACAACCTGGGCATGTGCCCTGACTGGGAATTGAACCATCAACCTTTTGGTGCATAGGTCAATACTCAACCACTGAGCCACACCAGCCGGGCTGTATTTGGGATTTTTATACCTGAATTGAACTTACAGCTCAGGACCTGTAGGCTTCTTCTCACCTTATTCTTTTTTTTTTTTCTTTTTTTTTTTTTATCCTCACCTGAGGACATTCTTCTATTTTTTGTTCAGGTAGAGTGGGAGGGGGAGAGAGGAAGAGAGAGAGAAACATCGATATGAAAGGGACACATCGAGTGGCTGCCACCCGCACGACCAACCAGGGCCGGGGACACACTGCAACCGAGGTACATGCCCTTAGCGGGAACCGAACCCGGGTCTCTCGGGACCGCAGGCCAACGCTCCAACCGCTGAGCCAAACCGGCCAGGGCATCACCTTATTCTTTTTGCACTCATCTCCAAGGGTAGAGCTTTATTTTTTGAAAGAGCAGAGTATGTGTGTATCCTGTCCAAAAAGAGAGAACCTAGTCCTAGCTGATTTAGCTCAGTAGTTAGAGTGTTGACCTCTGGACCAAAGCATAGTGGGTTTGATCCCTGGTTGGGTGCATGCCTGGGTTGCAGGTTTGATTTCCGGCCACAGTTGGAGTTGTGCAGGAGGTGGCCAATTGATGTATCTCTCTCACATTGCTTTTCTTTCTCTCTCTCTCTCCCTCTCTTTCTCTTCCTCCCTTCCCTTTTTCTCCCTCCCTTCCACTCTATCTAAAATTCAATGGAAAAATATCCTCAGGTGTGGATTTACAAAAAATAAATAAAGAAATAAATAAAATAAAAGAGAGAACCCAGAAGGAGTTAAACTATATACTCTTTTTTTTTTTTTTTTTTTTATCCTCACCTGAGGACATTTTTCCATTTTTTGTACAGATAGAGTGGGAGGGAGAGAGAGAGAGAGAAACATCGACGTGAAAGGGACACATCGAGTGGCTGCCACCCGCACGACCAACCAGGGCCGGGGACAAACTGCAACCGAAGTACGTGCCCTTAGCGGGAACCGAACCCGGGTCTCTCCGTACCGCAGGCCGACGCTCTAACCGCTGAGCCAAACCGGCCAGGGCTAAACTATATACTCTTAATTCCTTTTCCCAAGCTCATCAATTAAGAGTGAGGGTAGAAAAAACTACTGTTTCCTCCTGAGGCAGAGAGGGCTTACTTTATGAGCCAAAATAAGGATACGGAAGATTCTCCCTTAGAATATTCCCTTTATGGTTGTTGTAGTAGACCTGGTATCAATATGTAATTAAAGATGAGTGTTACTCTTTTCCCCTTTACAATCCTGTGCCCTAGCTTCTCTCTCAGTAGCAACATTAGTTTGAGTCTTCCCGACTTTTCTTTCTGTTGTGTGTAAGTAGTAATGCAGTTAAGAAAGCATGAAGGGTAGGTTTCTGAATGACTAAGTCATGTCAGATGCTTTCTGTAATAAGGCAGGATATAAGCAAATTAAATTGAGAGTTAATCTCAGTTATGCCTGGGTCTGAAAAGAAAAAGTGAAGGTAATTTTGGTCTTGTAACCAATTAGCAAATAAACAAACCATAGTTAATATTTTCTTTACCCTGTAATCAGTCAATAGTCATTTACCAGTCACCTTAGTATAGGGTTATTAAGTAAACAGTATCTATAGGTTTTCACTGAGAGAAAAATAGGTTCAATTTAGAAATTTGTGTGGCTACAGTTTTCTAGCAGTACTAGAAAAGACAGTAACTTAAAGTGGGTTTCATGTCTTTAACCAAGCGTTAAATGAAAAACAAACAAACAAACAAATAAACCCTGCCCTGGCCAGTTTGGCTCAGCAGTTAGAGCATTGGCCCACAGACCAGTGGGTCATGGGTTCGGTTTCAGTCAAGGACACATACCTCGGTTGTGGTTCATCCTAGGACCCTGACAGCCCTGGTTGGGGTTGTGCGGGAAGCAACCAGTCAATGTGTCTATCTCACATCAATGTTTTTCTCTCTACTGACCTCCCTCTCCCACTCTATCTGAAGATAAATAGATATCCTCAGGTGAGGATTTAAAAAAAAAAATCCTAAAGATTCCACCAAAAAACTGTTAGAACCAATAATTAAATCCAGTAAATTTACAGGACAAAATCAAAGTTAAAAAATCAGTGCTTTTTAATACACTATTCACTTATACACTACTAGGTGAGATAAGTCCTATAGAGAAAGATAAATACTATACGATCTCACTTATACATGAAAAAAAAGTTAAACTTAAAAAACAAATGAACAGCAATCTTGGAAAAAAAAAAAGAACAAAGTAGGTGGGATCACAATACCAGATATCAGGTTATACTACAAAGCGACTGTAACCAAAACAGCCTGGCACTGGCACAAGAACAGGCATATAGACCAGTGGAACAGAACTGAAAACCCAGAAATGGACCCAAGGCAAAACGCTCAATTAATATTTGACAAAGGTGGCAAGAGCATACAGTGGAGTAAAGACAGCCTTTTTAATAAATGGTGTTGGGAAAATTGGACAGCTACATGCAAAAAAATGAAACTAGACCATCAACTTACACCATACACAAAAATAAACTCAAAATGGATAAAAGACTTAAATGTGACCCGTGAATCCATAAAAATTCTAGAAGAAAATGTAGGCAACAAAATTTCGGACATCATACGGAGCAGAATTTTCACTGATACGTCACCTAAGGCAACAGAAATAAAGGAGAAAATGAACACATGGGACTACATTAAACTAAAAAGCTTCTGCACAGCAAAAGAAACAATCATCAAAATGGAAAGGCAACCCACTGTATGGGAGAACATCATTGCCAATGATGTATCAGATAAGGGGTTAATTTCCAATATATATAGAGTGCTCCTACAACTCCACAAAAGGAAGACAAAGAACCCAATTAAAAAATGGGCAGAGGAGCTGAATAGACACCTCTCCAAACAGGACATACAAATGGCCAAAAGACATATGAAGAAATGCTCAACATCACTAATCATCAGAGAGATGCAAATTAAAACAACAATGAGGTATCACCTCACACCTGTCAGAATGGCCGCCATCAACAAATCATCAAACAACAAGTGTTGGCGAGGGTGTGGAGAAAAGGGGACTCTAATATACTGCTGGTGGGAATGCAGACTGGTGCAGCCGCTATGGAAAACAATATGGTGCTACCTGAAAAAATTAAAAATTGAACTTCCATTTGACCCAGTGATCCCACTGCTGGGAATATACCCTAAGAAGCCTGAAACACCAATCAGGAAGAATATATGTACCCCCATGTTCATAGCAGCACTATTTACAATAGCTAAGATCTGGAAACAGCCCAAGTGTCCACCAGTAGACGAATGGATAAAAAAGCAGTGGTACATATACACAATGGAGTACTATGCAGGGGTAAGAAAGAAAGATCTCTTATCCTTTGAGACGACATGGAGGGACCTGGAAAGTATTATCCTAAGTGAAAGAAGCCAAGCAGAAAAAGACAAATACCACATGATCTCACTTATATACGGAATATAATGAACATAACAGTCTGAGGAATACAGTAGACCCAGACACATGGAAGTAGGGCGCAGACTGACATCTCTCAGAAGAGGGAGTGCGGGGGTGGGGGGGTGGGAAGAGATAAACCACAGAACTTATATGCATATATGCATGACCAATGGACATGGACAACTAAGCCGGGGACGGGGCGGAGGTGGGGTGGGGTGGGGGGTGCCAATGGGGTAAAAAGGTAAAATATCTGTAACAAAAAAATAAATAAATAATTCATTTAAATAAATAAATAAATAAATAAATGATTCTGCAATGAAGAGGACAAAAAAACAAAAACAAAAAACAAATGAACAAACAGTGGCATTGAGACATGTTAGGGATGACACTGTTCTAAAAGACCAATGCAAATTTGGTTATCCTAGGAAATGTATGGAAATAGATCAGAAGAACTCTACCCATTGTACAAAGCCATTCTGTGGCTATACCTGGTACACTTCATCAATTTTAGTTGCCACCCACTCCTTAAAAAAGAGAAAGATATAATAGACTTGAAGACAGGCCAGGGCCTAATATCTAACATGGTCTGTGGGCCTGACCCGTGTGGCTTAGTGATTGAGCATTGACCCATGCACTAAGAGGTCGCTGGTTCTATTCCTGGTCAGGGCATATGCCCAGGTTGTGGGCCCAATCCCCAGTTTGGGCATGCAGGAGGTGACCAATGGATGTTCTCTTTCATTGATGTTTTTATCTCTCTCCTTCTCCCTTTCTCTCTAAAAATCAATAAAGAAAAATAAATAAATAAAATGGACAGTGGGATAAAAAGGCTGAAATTCTCTAGTCTGGAAAAGCAAAGGCAGAGAAAAGATTTAGACTCTATGTAGCCTTGACCGGGTAGCTCAGTTGGTTAGAGCATTGTCCCAATAGGCCGAGGTCGAGGGCGTGATCCCTGGTCAGGGCACATACAAGAATCAACTGATGAATGCATAAATAAGTGGAACAATAAATCATTTTTTCTCTCTCTATCCCCCTTTCCCACTTCCAGTCTAAAAAAATTAAAAAAAATTTAAACAAAAAACGAATACAGACTCAGTATGTATACTTGTGATATTTATGGATAAGATAAATTATAATATCTTAGAATTTTTTTTTACCTCATTCTAAAGTGGTTTTTGTTTTATTTAAAGCTGTGATTTCAGCACACTTGCAGCTTTTAAGGGAGTTAGGGTCTAGAGTCAGCAAGAAGGGTGGAAATTGTGTCTAATCAAAAATCAGTCTTGCCAGGCTGGTGTGGCTCAGTTGGTTGAGCATCAGCCCACACACTAAAAGGCTGCCGGTTCGATTTCTGGTCAGGAAACATGCCCAGGTTGTGGGCCCGATCTCCAGTGTGGGGCATGCAGAAGGTAGCCGATCGATGTTCTCTCTCATTGATGTTTCTGTCTCTCTCTCCCTCTCTTTCTCTTTCTCTTAAATAATAAAGAAAAAAAAAAGATTCACATAGTATTTTAGGAGAGGGTTATTAAAAGGACGAACTGGCCCTGGGAATCAAACCACCAGTGACTTCTTCGTGTATGGGTCAGTGCTCAACGACTGAGCCACATTGGTTGGGCCTAATATTTATATTTTATATAATTTGCATTTTTCACTCAACACAATATCTTTGTATTTCATATATAGATATATATAATTTATTGAATTGGAATTTAGAAGCTTTTCAATGGTTCTCTATTTTAAACAATGCTGTAGTCAAGTCCATGTTCATTTTTGTGTATATGTAGGAGTATTTTTGTTAAACCATTTAAAAAATGTATTGATTTTTTATTTTTATTTTTTTATCCTCACCCGAGGATATTTTTCCATTTTTTGTTCATATAGAGTGGGAGGGAGAGAGAGAGAGTAACATCGACGTGAAAGGGACACATCGAGTGGCTGCCACCCTCATGACCAACCAGGGCCGAGGACAAACTGCAACCGTGGTACGTGCCCTTAGCGGGCACCGAACCCGGGTCTCTCTGGACTGAAGGCCGACACTCTAACCGCTGAGCCAAACCGGCCAGGACCATTTTTCCATTTTTTATTCGGATAGAGCGGAGGGAGAGAGAGGAAGAGAGAGAGAAACATCGATGTGAAAGGGACACATCGAGTGGCTGCCACCCACACGACCCAACCAGGGCCAGGGACAAACTACAACCAAAGTACATGCATGCCCTTAGCGGGAACCAAACCCGGGTCTCTCTCGACAGCAGGCTGATGCTCTAACTGCTGAGCCAAACCGGCCAGGGCTAAAAAATGTATTGATTTTTAAAGAGAGGAAGGGAGAGAAAGCGAGAAACATTGATTGGCTGCTTTCTACACATGCTACAACTGAGGATGGAACCTGCAACCTGAGTATGTGCCCTGACTGGGAATTGAATCCACTTTTTGTGTATGGGACGATATTCCAATGGATTGAGCCATATCAGCCAGGGCTATGTAGGAGTATTTTTAAAATATATGTATTTTTATTTGTGTTTTAGAGAGAGAGGGAAGGAGAGAGATAGAAACATCGATGTGAGAGAAAAACATCTATTGGCTACCTCCTGCACACCCCCTACTGGGGATGGAGCCCCAGCCTGGCATGTGCCCTGACCGGGAATTGAACTGGGACCTCAGTCCATGGGATGACACTCTGGGCCACACTGGATGGGTTGTAGGAGTATTTTTATGGGACAGATTGTCTAGCAAGGTAATTTTCTTCCCAAATGGCTGTGGTAATTTTTTGAATCCTGAAAATCATACATTTAGCACAAATCAAAGGTAGTGGATAGTAAATTACAAATAGATTTTGTTGGTTCGAAGGGTTTTTATTTTTTATTTATTTTATTATTTTTTTAATCCTCACCCGAGGATATTTTTCCATTTTTTGTTCAGATAGAGCGGGAGGGAGAGAGAGGAAGAGACAGAGAGAGAGAAACATCGATGTGAAAGGACACATCGAGTGGCTGCCACCCGCACGACCAACCAGGGCCGGGGACAAACTGCAACCGAAGTATGTGCCCTTAGCGGGAACCGAACCCGGGTCTCTCTGGACCGCAGGCCGACACTCTAACCGCTGAGCCAAACTGGCCAGGGCGGTTCGAAGGGTTTTTAAAAAAATTATAGTAAAAAATACATAACATAAAATTTACCATTTTAAGTGGTTTTAAGTTCAGTGAGTGGCATTAGGTACATTTACATCATTGTGGAACTTACAGGGTGTTGTTTGGATAGAAAATATAGCTCAGAAGTGGAATAGATGAATCTTTGACTCTGGATTTTTAAATTTTTTTTTATTTTTAATCCTCACTCGAGGATATTTTTACATTTATCTTCAGACAGAGTGGGAAAGGGAGAGAGAGAGAGAGAAAGAGAGAGAGAGAGAGAGAGAGAGAAACATCGACGTGAGAGAGACACATTGATTGGTTGCCATGCACACGACCCCAACTGGGGCTGGGAACGAACCGCAACTGAGGTACATGCCCTTGGCCAGAATCGAACCCGGGTTTCCTTAGTCCACAGGCCGATGTTCTAACTGCTGAGCCAAACCAACTAGGGCAACTCTGGATTTAAAAAAATTTTTTTTTTATTAATCTTAGAGGAAGGGAGGGTTAGAGGGAGAGAGAGAGAGAAGCACTGATGTGAGAGAGAAACACTGATCGATTGCCTCCCTCATGAGCCCCAACCGGGGATTCAGTCTGCAACCTAAGTATGTGCTCTGACTGGGAATTGAACCCGCCACCTTTCAGTGGACAGGATGACGCTCCTCCCAACTAACCCACACTGGCCATGACGACTCCAGATTTTTAAAGAGAAGGAAGTTAAGATGTTTTGGAGTCTAGTGACAGGAGGGACAAAATCACCTTTCCATACTCCATCTTTCGGTGCCTCTGTCAGTAATGGAATGTGTAGGTGGGCAGAATTACAAGACTACTCAGGCATGGGAGACAGAAGGAGGCTTGTGGTCCAAGTCAGAAGATGTTAGATCTTGGTTCAGAACACAAAGACATTGGGGGAAAGATTGCTTGTTTCAAATCATAGGAAACTTGGACATAATGGAAAATGATGTATATGTACCTAAGTGTGTGTGTTGGTGAGCAGTTAAAATTGTCTTTTTATATCCCACTGTATTTGAAAAAGAATTTGTGTTGGCTAATAAAGATACATGTGGTGTCATAAGATTTAAAAAATAAGTAAATGAAAAATTGGAAGAAAAGAGGAATGCAGATATGATTACTATGGTATGATTAGAACATAGGATTTATGCCAAAGAAAGTTTCACTCTTTGTCTCTGGCTTCCTACCAGCTAAGAACAGGGAGAAACACACAATCTGTGGCTATAGGATCCAAACAAACCAGGGCTCAAGAACAGGTTCATCTTTACTCAGACTAGAGACCTCAGAACATTTCCCCTTTTATTAGTACAAATAAATCATTAATATAGAAAACCGTGCCTTTAATCATATTTCTCAAGTGACTACTGTAATGAGTTTAAAGGGACAATATGATGTCCCTCAGTCTAGACTGTTGGTATAATGTCCAAGTACAGTTCAGGAAGGGTAGTTCTGTGAAGGATCAGATTAAAATGTTTTAATTGCATTGCCCTTTCATCTGCAGACTTAAAACAAGACTAAAATTAGAGTAGCTTCAGAAATATTTCCCACTCTTCCATCAGCTTGAGTAAGAACTTTGTGATTTTGCCATTCTTGTGTCCATTGTAGAATATTATTTACTTATTGTTTTTATTTAAATTTACTTAAATATTTCGACTCACCCTAGGTTTGAGATGTTTGTTTAATAAGTCTTATTACTGGAAACTTTTGTCTATTTTGATCTTGAATGTAAGAACATCCACTCAAAATTTTGGGTTTGGTATAAAGGAGCAGAGCCCAGATAGTTTAAGTCAGTTAATGGATTGTTTGGCAGTCTGGGAATAGAAATCCTTTGTCTTCTGACCTTTGGCATGATGGTTCCTTGCCTAGTTGCCTACATTTACTCACCTGAGTTACTTCTTCACTTCTGTTTACATACCTGCCACTAAAATCACTAAAATGTGTGTTCTGTTTACTCTTGTTTCAGAGCTCAAGCATTGACTTTCTAGCAAGCCAAGGATTTGATTTCAATAAAGTTTTTCACAATGGTAAGATTATGTGTGACTTATCTTTAGAATATCTAAATGTGGAATTAGTTGAGAATGATCTTTTTGTGCTTGCTGTCTGAGACAGAATCTCAGATTTCTAGTACCTCACATGCAGCCTTAGAGTGTTTTTTTTTATTCTCACCAGAGGACATTTTTCCATTTTTGTTCAGATAGAGTAGGAGGGAGGGAGAGGAAGAGAGAGACAGAGAGAAACATCGACGTGAAAGGGACACATTGAGTGGCTGCCTCCTGCCCAACCCCAACCAGAGCTGGGGACACATTGCAACTGAGGTACGTGCCCTTAGTGGAAACTGAATCTGGGTCTCTCTGGACCGTGGGTCGACGCTCTAACTGCTGAGCCAAACTGGCCAGGGTGCAGCCTTAGAGTTTTAATAGTTTAAAAATCTTTTATTGTGCCTTTTTCCCCTCAAACCTAGTCAACTATGAACTGAAGAGCAGAGTAGATGCAACTTCATTTGACTCTAATGAAGCCTCTCAAACTCCTGATTTTATGGAGTGGAGTTTACTCATAGTTTATTTTATGAATTAACTACTTATACATAGTTATAACATAGAATAACATGGTTATTCATAGTTTATTCTATATGTGACTTATCTAGCGCCTGTGGGGAACGCTTCCCTGTTTTCTTTCAGTGAGACAAATGGTATGATATAGTAATTTATTTTATTTAAAAAAAAATTTTTTTTTATTGATTTTAGAGAGAGGAAGGTATAAGGAGAGAGAGAGAAACATCGATGAGAGAAAACTTTTTATTTGTTTTTTTTATCCTCACCCGAGGACATTTTTCTATTTTTTGTTCAGAAAGAGTGGGAGGGAGAGAGAGGAAGAGAGAGAGAGAGAGAAACATCAACATGAAAGGCACACATCGAGTGGCTGCCCCCTGCACGACCCAACCAGGGCTGGAGACAAACTGCAACCGAGATACGTGCCCTTAGCAGGAACCGAACCCCGGTCTCTCTGGACCGCAAGCCGACGCTCTAACCGACGCTCTAACCGCTGAGCCAAACCGGTCAGGGCGAGAGAAAACTTTGATCAGCTGCCTCCTACATGGCCCCCCTACTGGAGATTTGGCCCATAACCTGGGCTCATGCCCCAACCTGGAATCAAACTGGTGACCTCTTGGTGCAACCACTGAGCCACACTGGTCAGGCTGATATATAGTACTTTAAAAAGTAGCTGTAGCCCTGGCCATTTTGGCTCAGCGGTTGGAAAGTCGGATTGCGGTCTAGAGAGACCTGGGTTCGGTTCTCGCTAAGGGCACGTACCTTGGTTGCAGTTTGTCCCCGGCCCCAGTTGGGGCTGTGTGGATGGCGAACACTCAATGTGTTTCTCTCATATCGATGTTTCTCTCTCTCTCTCTCTTCCTCCCTCTCTCCCTCTCGCTCTCTGAATGTGTCCTTGGGTGAGGATTAAAAAAAAAAAAATAGCTGTAGCCCTGGCTGGTTTGGCTCAGCGGTTAGAGCATCGGCCTGTGGACCAGCGAGACCTGGGTTTGGTTCCTGCTAAGAACACGTACCTTGGTTGCAGGTTGTCCCCAGCCCCAGTTGGGTTGCGTGGGTGGTGACCAGTCGATGTGTCTCTCTTGCATTGATGTTTCTCTCTCTCTCTCTCTCTCTTCCTCCCACTCTATCTGAACAAAAAATAGGAAAAGTGTCCTCGGGTGAGGATAAAAAAATAAATAAATAAATAAAAATAAAAAGTAGCTGTATTCCAGTAATCCTGTAATGAAAAACTCCATTTCTTATTGGTGCTTGTTTTATAATTGGAGAAGGTTTCTCTCTTTCTCCTGGGAGAAAAAAAGCCTGCACAGATTGTACTATACTTGCTGGTGTGGTAAGGCTGCTGAGTACCCTGAGGAAAGTGACCATGTCTCATTCCATTCCCTTGGTATATGGCATGATTCCTCTTCTTTATCAGGGGTTGACCATTATATATCTGATGAGTGCATGTTTGATATTAGAGCACACCAGAGTGGTTTTTCGTTTCCTGAACAGTGTTGAGAAAACCTTTGGTTTTTATCAGCAGTATTAAGCACTTACTGCTAATAAGGTCAATAACTACTTTTAATTATTCTCCTAAATTATAGTCTTTTCTATGGTGAATATAGAATTATTGAATAATGGAAGGAAGGAGATTTTTTTCAGTGAATGTACTAGAACATAGACTTCAAATAAATTCATTTCCCCTCAGCGTGGTCTTCCTGGGAGGCCTTTAGAACCCATGCCATATTGTTTTTTAATTGCTTCAGTGGTGATGCATCATGATTTCTATTGATGACTTTGATTTTTGGAAATGTTAAAAAGTTTTGGAGTCCAAACTGCTTAACATAGTGGGTGAACCAACTGGGTAACACAATTTGGGTATATAACTTAATTTTTTTTTTTTTTTGTTCACTGTTCCGGGTCGATGCGTGGAGTGGACGAAGCGAGCCCCTATTTCATTTCCCTGTTCCAAAAATACATTTAATATAATGTCCTTCGATCGAGGACGTATCAGATATTAAACTAATAAGAACAGATACTACACTTGATCTTAGCCAAAAGGCCAAGACGCGATAACATAATTTTTTTTTCTTTTAGCTCATACTTGATTCTGAAAGCCATTATAAAATACAAGTTCCAAATATATTTAGAGCACTATATTGGAATAAACACAAAAAATCTTTGTTTTGTTTTTTTGGTTTTTTTTTTGTTAATCTTCACCTGAGGATATTTTTTGATTGATATTTAGTTAGAGTGGGAGGGAGGGAGAGGGAATGAGAAACATTGATGTAAGAGACACATCGATTGGTTGCCTCCTGAACAACCCCGACTGGGGCTGAGAATCAAACTTGCAACCCAGACAACGTGCCCTTGACTGGGAATTGAACCTGGAACCCTTCAGTCCAAGGGCCGATGCTCTAACCACTGAGCAGCAGCACAAAAATCTTTTGAAGGAATTACTTTACCCAGATTCATATGGATGTAGTATAGTTTCCAGCCTGATGGTTTTCTTTTCTTTTTTTGCTCCCTAACCAAACAGACCTACCATTTAGCAGGTTTTTGAGGCCTTCTCTAACTTTATTTTATTTTATTTTTTGGTATGTGCCCCTAGTGGGAACCAAACCCAGGACTCTCTAGTCCACAGGCCGACGCTCCAACTGCTGAGCCAAACTGACCAGGGCTGGTTTTATTTTCATTAAAGGAGAGAGCCAAATTAGACTGTGCCTCTTCTCATTGTTTTATAGTCAGAATATATGGAATATTTTAGTCACTGATGAATCAGGATTTCCAGGCCATCTGTTATTACCAGGATTCTTATCTTCATGCTGTTTTTTATATTCTAAATCTGATCTAAACCTTCACTTCTCTTCTTTGTCAAATCTTTCCAGTCATGCTTCATAAATGAAGACCATTTTCTCCTGGTAGTCTTGTCTGAAGTGTCTTTGACTTCCTTTTTTGAAATGGAACCAGGTGACTTCTTGTTACTATTCTCCCTGCAGCCTCTCAAATATAGGTGGTTTTTCCCTGTTCTCTTTTTATATCCAGCCAGTCAGTGGTAGGTAACCTTGCTGCCCCATGCCACTTTCAAATTACTTGAATTTTTCCCTCAGGAACTAAGTTCTTCTCAGAACTGTCACACAGCTCTTTCACCCCTCTTTCTGCTAACTTCATGGACATGGCATTCACTGACAGCCTTGGCTTTGGCTCATGTCTTTCTCTCCATTCCTGCCTCTCTTCATTCTGGGTGACTTCTGCATCCATAAGGATGACCAATTGATGCTCTGCCTTATCTGTTTCTTGACCAGGTGGTCAGCAGCCCTTGATTCTACCTCCCCTTAACCATCTACTCCTGTGGTAGCATCATGGGTCTTATCACCCATTTCCAGCATTTCTTTTTGAGAGCACTACCTCCTGTTCTTCTCATTCACTTACTCCAGTACCTCATTTCAGCACTCTGTTGACCTGCATTGCTTTTTCACTATCAGTTTCCTTCCACTCTCCTATCTTGGCTTCCCTCTTTATTCACATGGTTCATCATATCCTTCTTTCTTTCCCTTGCTTCTCTCTCCCTCCATTGCACTTGTCTGGCAAAGTCCCAACACTGGTTGGATCTGACCTCCTACCTTCTCTGTTTCTGAGCATCTGAATGTTGCTGGAAAACATGACACACCTGAGTTATTCTATAAAAAAATAATTTTTTTTCTTTATTGATTTTTAGAGAGAGAGGAAGGGAGAGAGAGATGGAAACATTGATGAAGAGAGAACATGGATTGGCCGCCTCCTGTATGCCCCACACTGGGGATTTGGCCCACAACCTGGGCATATGCCCTAACTGGTAATTGAACTGGCGATGTCTTGGTGCATGGGTCGATGCTCAACCACTAAGTCACACTGGCTGGGCTATTTTGTCATTCTTTTTTTTTATCCTCACCTGAGAACATCCTTTGCATTTATCTTAAGATAGAGTGGGAGGGAGAGAGAGGGGTGAAGAGAGAGAGAGAAACATTGATGGAAGAGAGAGACATTGACTGGTTGCCACCCTCATGACCTCAACTGTGGACAAACTGCCACCGAGGTACGTGCCCTTAGCGGAAATCAAACCTGGGACTCTCCGGTCTGTAGGCCGATGCTCCAACCACTGAGTCAAACCGGCCAGGGCTAATTTGTCATTCTTAAATTCATGATCACAAGCTTCAAATAAACAGTCATGCTCAAAAATCCTACTCTTCTGACTTAGAAATTCCCTTTCCAGTTCTCTGTTTTTTACTATCTCTTTCTCCGGACTTCCCATCCCACGTGATGCCATGCTCTCAGTGAAAATAGAAAAAGGCAGAGAAGAGCTGCTGTATGTTCTTACCACCAGACCCACATCTGGACCCAGCCTTCTTTCTTCTGTTCTTTACAGTGAAGAGGGGTCCCTGCGCCTATTAACGGTTAGTCCCTGTCTCCTTGTGAAGCACTGGCTCCTCCAGTTTGCACTTCTCTCTCCTGAATTATTGTTTTTTCTCTACTGAATTGTTCCTTTTTATTTTTTCCCTAACCTTGAAATGAATTTGGTAGTTTCTTTCATAATGAATGAAGACAACAACCTCAGCAGTGTTAGTATCTGTTGACAGATGTCGTTTCCTAATTCCACCATTCTTTCTATGAAGTTTGTTAGTGTCCCATGGCTTTTAAGATCACCCATATTCTGATGATGCCTTAATGTCTCTCTCAACACCATTCTTCTGCAAGATAGACTTATATAGGTTTTAAGTTTATATATACCCTAAGATGATTTTATGTATCCAGGAGGTAGGATTTTTTTTTTTTTATTCATCTTTACCTGAGGATGTTTTTTTCATTTATTTTTTAGAGAGAGTGGAAGGGAGAAAGAGAGAGAGAAACATTGATGTGAAAGAGACACATTGATTGGTTGCCTCCCACACATGGGATCCAACCTGCAACCCAGGCGTGTACCCTTGACCAGGAATTGAACCTGTGACCCTTCAGTGCACAGGCCAACACTTTAACAACTGCTCAGTGGTTAGGACCCAGGAGTAGCTTTTCATTTTCATTTTTGAAACCTCAAACCTAGTCTTTGCCTAGTTTTCCCCACTTCATTAAGTGGCTCTATCATCTTTTTAACAGCTTAAACTTAATAACATAATTTTTTATTTTGCTCTTCTTTTTATCCCTCATCTTCAGTATATCAGCAGGTTGTATTTCTGCTATCTCTAAAATCATTTTCCCCATCTTTATAGTCTAAGCTAGGGCACAAACTATGGCCTACTGCCTGTTTTGTAAATAAAGTTTTATTGGGACACAATCATGCCCATTCATTTACACATTGTGTATTACTCTTTTCATGCCACAAGAACAGAGCTGAATAATTGCAATAGAGACCTATTACTATTTGTCCCTTTAAGAAAAAGTTTACTGACCTCTGTCTGATCTAAGCGAGACAATTACAGTAGACAGTTGCTTATAGCTCTGACTTCCCTACTTCAAATGATCTTTTAAAAATATGAAGCAGATAATGCAATTACCTTGCTTAAAATCTTCTAATGGGATTCCATTGCTCTTAAAATGTAATACATTTTTACTGTGGCCTGTAAGGGCCTGTGTAATCTTGCTCTATCCTCTCTCTAACCTGGCATCATGCCATTCTGTTGATTGTGTTCTGGCCACACCAGCTTCCTTGCTGTTTTTGGGAAAGTCCAAGCCATTTCTATCCTCAGTATATTTATACTTAGCCCCCTGCTGGAAATATTCTTCCCCTAGTTCTGTGCATGTCTGATTCATTCTTATCCTTTGGGTCTTCTCTTACAATAGCCTTCTCTGATCATCCTGGCTAATAGATGCTCACTGCAGAGTAGGATGCATCTACTCTGCTCACTGTTAGATTCCCCAGTGTCTCTTACAGTTCCTGGAACAGCGTAAGTGCCAAATAAAAATTTGTTGAACAAAGAATGAATGAATGGAGTGCATGAATATACAAACACATTTCAAAATCGTTTGCTTTTTCTGTTGATTTTTTGAGATATAGTTAAATATGGTGAGTCTTTCCTGAGTATTTTTGTTAAACAATTTTTATGTTAAATGGTTACTTCTACTAATACATTCTTTTAAAAACTATGTTTAGGAATTCCATATTTAAATCAGGAAGAAGAAAGACAGTTAAGAGAGCAGTATGATGAGAAACGTTTACAGTCCAAAGGTGCAGGAGCTCTATCATATGTGTCTCCTAACACATCCAAATGTCCTGTGACAATTCCTGAGGATCAGAAGAAGTTTATTGACCAAGTGGTGTAAGTTCCCAAACTGGAATTAAATGTGCATTGTATAATGTGTATTGGGGCAGGACTGACATCTGTGTCTTGAACTTATGCTGCACATGCACAGTACACAAAGAGGTATGATGTTGTGATTGACAGGCTTTAATTATGGGATATCTGAATTTGTGTAACAACAACACATTGTAAATAGGATTCTGTGTACTGTACTAGACTTGTCACATGTCACTGGGAAGACCTTCTGCAAAGGCCTGGTAGCCACTATCCAGTTCCTCTGAAGGCGGAACAATGAAATCAGCCCATTCAGATATGTGCAACATGTCCATGTGTTTTTCTTTCACAGTTAAGTTTCTGACAAGCCAATGTGCCATTGAAGGAGTGTCTAGACTTGCTTAGTTTACTTGTCAATATAACTGCTTAACTAGAGAAGTAAAATTTTAATTACTTTTTTTATTGTCACTCAAGGACATTTTTCCATTTTTTGTTCAGATAGAGTGGGAGGGAGAGAGAGGAAGAGAGAGAGAGAAACATCGACGTGAAAGGGACACTTCGAGTGGCTGCCACCCGCACTACCTACCAGGGCTGGGGACAAACTGCAACTGAGGTACGCGCCCTTAGCAGGAACTGAACCCAGGTCTCTCTGGACTGCAGGCTGACGTTCTAACCGCTGAGCCAAGCCCGCCATGGCGAGAAGTAAAATTTTAAAGCACTTTCATTGATATAGCCTTGAGGGGTTGTCTTTAATTCCTTAATAACAACAATAACAAAAAGAATATGCCAAAATAAATTATTTTTCTTTAAGCCATACTGAACTAAAAAATTACAACATGATTTGGTAAAATTACATTGTCATATGTTCTTATATTTAGATAGCTTTTGACTATGATTATTCTGTTGGCTGATGACTTTATTCCTTAAAGGTATTGACAGTCATGTTTTTAATTCCTCAGAGAGAAAATAGAAGATTTGTTACAAAGTGAAGAAAATATGAACTTGGACTTAGACCCATGTACAGGGTTAGTTGCCATGAATCTTTTCATATCTTTTTGGGGAAAGGTGGATGATCTGGCATGTGCTATATTTGGTCTTCTAAAAACACTTTTATAAATAGTGTTTTTATTTCAGTCATGCTCCCAAGATTTAAGCATTAACTTTAACATTAATACAGTGGGGATGATGGTATATTGAGACACTGAATGAGTGCTTTTTCTCATACTGTAGAACTTTTGTTTAAAGTTATGCTCAAGAGTGACATAATTGTTTTAGCCTTGAGGAGTACTTAATGCATAAAGGCTTCAAAAGAGAAGAATTTACTCTCAGGCTACTTCTATGCTTTTAATTTTTCTGTGGTAAAAAACATTAGTGTTTCAAGGACTGGGTAGCGTAAACATCCTACTTTTTATTTTTGTGACTAGCTTCACAAAAGTGTTTAAGTCAGTGGTTCTCAACCTGTGGGTCGCGACCCTTTCACAGGGATCGCCTAAGACCATTGGAAAACACATATTTCCGATGGCGATTCGTAACAGTAGCAAAATTACAGTTGTATTGGAAAACACATATTTCCGATGGCGATTCGTAACAGTAGCAAAATTACAGTTGTGAAGTAGCAACGAAAATAATTTTATGGTTGGGGTCACCACAACATGAGTAACTGTATTAAAGGGTCGCGGCATTAGGAAGGTTGAAAACCACTGGTTTAAGTGCATCTGTCTACCTTAAACTCTCTCTATATAAGGCACAGGAAGTAATACTTTGCTTAAACGGGAACTTCTACCTCTTATATAAAGGTAGTATGATAATATTAAAGAAGATTTTGATGAAGACAGTGGTGAGGAATCCTCACCCCTCGTACATCCTGCCCATTTTTGTTTGCGTATTGCCTGTAACTTTTATTGAAGTCTCTCTCTCTCTTTTTTTTTTAATCCTCACCTGAGGATATTTTTTTCCCCCATTTATCTTTAGATAGAGTGAGGGGAAGGGAGGGAGGGAGGGAGAGAGAGGGAGAGAAACATCAATGTGAGAGAGACACATGGATTGGCTGCTTACTGGGGCCAAGGACCAAACTACAACTGAGGTACGTGCTCTTGACCAGAATCGAACCTGCAACTCTCTGTTCTGTCGGCGGATGCTCTAACCGCTGAGCCAAACCAGCCAGGGCTTATTGAAGTCTCTTTTAAAAATTAAGTGTCTTAAATGTCTTTCCCTATCGGTGCTTGATCAGTTAGGATTGTCTTTTAATGAGCCAAGACTAATATCTTTGTTTTTTTTTTTATAGGTTCCAAAGAAAACTAATTTATCAGACTTTAAGCTGGAAGTAAGTGTTTATAGTATATGCAAGAACTCTGTGAGGGACCCAGGATTTAAAAACTAAATATAATCTCTTAGCTCTCATTTCATTTATAGAATTCTATAGTACTTGGTGACTTGACCATTCTGTTATTGTGTAGTGCCTTATTTTATTTCCCCAGGTTTTTTCTAAGTTGAATACCCACTTAATTTATTTTGTTTGTTATTGCTTTAAAATTTTTTTTAAAAAAATTGATTTTAGAGAGAGGGAAGGAGAGTGAAACATTGATTTATTTGTTCCATTTATTTGTGCATTCATTGGTTGCTTCTTGTATTTCCTGTATGTGTCCTGACCAGGGATCAAATCCTCAACCTTGGCGTACTGGGATGATGCTCCCCGGCCAGGGAAACAGGAAGGGGACCCAGTGGGTTGCCCCTGTTATTGCTTTTTTTCTCCTGTATTGATTTTACAGAAAGAGGAAGGGAGAGAGAGAAACATTGATGAGAGAAAACATTGATTGGCTGCCTCCTGCATGCCCCCCACTGGGAATCAGGCCCATAACCTGGGTATGTGTCCCTGACCAGGAATTGAACCGGTGACCCCTTGTTGCATAGGTCGACGATCAACCACTGAGCCACACCGGCCAGACTGTTACTGTGTTTCAATACATGCATTAAAGCCTTTTAAAATTTCTTTTAATTATCACTTTGCCTTTGTCTGGTAAGTTCTGGGTGTGTAGTGTTTTGTTCTTGAAAGTATACGATAAAGGTTTGGTGTTAAGACCTAGGAATTACTCAGCTGAATTCTTTTTCTAAAGTAGAGGTTAGAACATGGATGGATTTTAGGAAGTCTGTGAATTCCCTGAAATAGTATCTAAAGTTTTGTGTATTTGTCTAGGGATGTTTCCATTGGTTTCATTCTCATTTCAGGTGGATCTCTAACCTCCAAATTGGACATCAATGTTAGACAGTTTGATGTTTGTGTTTGGAATTCATTTTTTTTTTAATCCTCACCTGAGGGTATTTTTCTGTTTATCTTTATGTAGAGTGGGAGGGAGGGGGAAAGAGAGAGAGAAACATGGATGTGAGAGAGACACATCAACTGGTTGCCTTCCGCACGACCCCGACCAGGGCTGGTGACAAACCGCAACAGAGGTACATGCCCTTAATTGGAATCAAACCCGTGACTCTTTGGTCCACGGGCTGATGTTCTAACGGCTGAGCCAAACCGGCCAGGGCAATTTGGGGATTCTTATTCTTTTACTAGAATCTGCCAGTAACATGTATACTGGAAATTTACTTTGATTGTAATGGGAAAGGGTCACTGTCATTTGATCAGACTTATTTTTTTTCTATTATCTTTACAACCTTACTTCATATAGGTTCCAGATCCCTTTTCTTGGCTGGTACAAACTGCCATGCCAAACTACAGTTATTCATCTCAAACCTCCTGTGTGTGTGCCCATACAATCTAATAAGACCTTCAAAATCAGTTAGGAAGTAAACAATATTATATTTGGAAAAATGATTTGACTATGTGGTAATGAGGTGACTGTAATATGTGATGTAAGACATTTCAGAAAATGCCTGAGTCCTAAAAAAGTTAATTTAAAATCAGATGCATTTCTGTGTGTTTAAGAGCAAAGATAGAGGAACATTTAATAGCTGAAATAAGTCTTTATTATAGTAACAATTATTTCATATTTAATAACGTTTATTTCATTTAATTAAATTATAGCTATATAGTTGCCTTTGAACATACTTACAGTTTTAGCTGTCATTGTCTCATCTACTGATGTCATGTTTTCTTCCTTGTCTTTAGGTATCCCAAAGGCATTCATGTTGAAACTTTAGAAACTGAAAAGGTAACCTCAAGAGTTATCTAGGGCTAACAATTAAACACATACAATGATACATTGATATATCAAAAGTCAGAATTGACTTCTTGGCCCTGCTCTTTATGAGCTGGGTGACCTTCGGCAAGTCATTTAACCTCTCTAAGTTGATCTATACCTATCTCATAGCTTTTTTATGGTGATCCAGTGGGTAAATGGAAGCAAATAGGCTTTGTAAATTTGAATACATGCAAATGTTGGTACATGTTCTAATTATAAAGTTGTGATGATATGCATGAAGAAATGGCTTCCTGTTATGTGGGCAAGCAAAATGAAGTTTTAGAATTTAGGGCATAAGCATATGCATAGATATTGTCATGTATTCCCATGGCTCACTGATAGAACCATGATGAGTAATGGGCTGATGGTGGATTCCCTTTGCAAAATTTTAGGATTTTAGAATTTAGTTGTTGCTCTGAAGTCAGATGTCAAATTATATAAGAGATTAAGTGAATTAGAAAACAATCTTGCTAGAAGGTAAATCTCAAACTTTGACATAGAATATGATATGTTTAATGATAAAAAATGCAATATGTGAGGAAAAATGTACTAGTTGTCTGACATATTACCAAAAAAATCCAGGATTTTTTCTTTTCTTTTCTTTTTTTTTGTTAAATTATTTTATTAAGCAGTCTTGACGGAAGGAGATGAAACTAGTTAGGATCAGAGTTGTATTGAAGTTAAATGGATTCTGTGACAATTTCCTCCTTTCTCTTGAGATGCTTTAAGTGCACAGTTCACCTAAATTTATTACAAAAAAATAAAAGCAAGAACTCCTGGTAGTATGCAGGGGATTGCAGAGAATCCAGGACGAAACCTCCAGGGAACTAATGACTGGTTTCTAAACAAGGACATTTTGTGTGAAACATTTTCATCAAAGAATATAAATGTAAAAATCGAAGCTGACCATTTTATTCATTACTGCGGAAATTCAGCACCTTGCCTGACCTAAGCTCCATGATGAAGTTTGTGCTCTAATGTATAGCAATATTTATGATATCCAGAAAGCAGTTCCACCCAATTAATGGCCACAGTGGCTTCTTCATCTTCACAGGCAGTAGCAGGACGTTCAAACAGGGAAAGCAAGGCCGTCGTGAAAACAATTGCCTGAACCTTTCCAGTTATGTCCCCAAAAGACAGAATTGATTCATTGGCATCATGAGGGTCATACTAATAATCCATGCAAATTGGTGTTCCTTTCAGGCCTTGGAGTTTATATTGGCAAGGAAATTGTTCTTTGGACAGCAGATCATAAAAACAAATCTCTTTACTTGTAAAAGCCACCGCTATCTTGTTTACATTTTCCAGAGAAACCAGACTTGTCACCCACAGGTGTTTCAGCTTGGTGGCATCTGAAGTGATAGGAAGTGTTTCTTGCAGCTTTAGATTCTCTCCCCAGATGCCTAACAAACTGTCCTTACTGATGGTCACATAACGACTGGAACTTTTCAAGAAAATGACTTTTTGAATGGTGTCCTTGTGTTTCACTGGGAGGAATTCAAGGTCTTTCCACTGGGGATCAACAGTTGCCTTTGCTCGTTCATCATTCTCATAAAGTGTTAACAGCATAAATGCAGAAAGTTTGTCCCAATTAATGAAGCCGTCCTGGGCCACATCCACCTTGTCAAAGAGCTTCCCATATTCTTCCTGTGTGCCCTAACCAACAGTCTCTGCCATCCTCTGCGTGAACTCTTCTCTGGTCATACAAATGGTTTGACTTGGCTCTTGGGCTCCAGCAGAGGGAGGGTGGACTGGACTGGAACTGTGTGGGGACACTTGGGATTTGGAGGGCGCTCAGAGCTTTGGCTGAGATGTGGCCACGCAGGACGGTGGCCATCTTACTCCTTCCCAGGGCTCTTGGAGATCCCGGATTTTTTCTTATATTAATGAAATATGATACAGAAATTTTATTTTAAAACTAATTGTTTAGAAACTAATGTTTAGATGCAATGTAATTTCTTAGTGTTCATTGTGGAAAGTGTCTTATTCTCACAGTGTGTTGATTACTTTTAACTGACATCTGTGGGTTGGATTAATAAACCATGGGAAAATATCACGGAAATACAGAGGCAGAATTGGTTTGTAATGCATCAACTCAACTTTGCTCGCATTTAAAAATCCTTTTAGTGTGTTTAACCCAGGAAAGACTGTTAAATGATAAAAACAATAACTTCTAATGGTAGCATAATTCTGAATTTTTTGGGTCAAATTGCTTCCAGAAAATTGTATGTTGGCTTTATGTCTTTTAGAAAGAGCGCTACATAGTTGTCAGCAAAGTAGATGAAGAAGAACGCAAAAGAAGAGAGCAGCAGAAACATGCTAAAGAACAGGTACTTATTTCATTTCTTTCCAGTGAGAAATGGCAACCTATCCTCTATATATGTAGGTCATATGTTGGATTCAATTTCATGATTAGTTTTCTACTATAGAAAATTTGCTTTAGTAGGAAAGCCTAGCATAGGATAAGAGGAACTTAAGCTTAAATATTTGGACATAGCCAACAAAGTGAGTCTGACATGGTTTACCAATCTTTCCTTATATGAAGGAGTCTTGAAAAAAGTTTTATTGATTATCATTAGGATTATGTGCCACTGATCTTCACTGTTTGTTAAATAATATTGCTATTTGTAGTTTTAGGCAACTTATTAGTTTTCCTAAGACAAAGTTGAGAACATATGATTTGACAGATCAGAGTGACATGGTCATATTTTCATGGTTGGAACATCATCTTGGTTGCTGTCTGGAGAATGGATTCGAGTAAGACTAGAGGCAGGGAGACCAGTTTGTAAAATAACATAGCTAAGAGATACCAGTGACCTGGAATAGGCTAGTTAGTAGCAGTTTAGGTGAAACCTAGAGATACCTAGAAGGTAGGATCAGTGGAATTTGTGATTGGATGTGGGTGGTAAAAGAGGAAGAGAGAAGAAGGAAGATCCTTAAGCCTGAAATTTGAGCAACTGGGTGGACTGATGTCAGTTTATTGATGGAGTGGGCCGGAGCGATATTGGAGAGGGGACACAGGTGGAGTACAGTTGGCGTATGAGTAGATGTAAAGCTCACAGATATATAAGGCAGGGCCAGAGCTGACTGATTAAACCAGTAAAGACACTATAAGCCATTGTTAGATTTTGGTGGTTTATTACTTACATAGAGAAGGAAGATCAGCCAAAGGTGCCAGCTGCATATGGTCCTTGTTCCCACACACCAAAAAGACAACACTGAAAAGGGACCAGATGACTGCGATATGAGTTGTGGATACCTCATTATTGAGGAGCCAATTCTAGACTGCACCTATATGCTTTTATATTCTACAGCTCTGATGGGCAAGGGGGTGGGGTGGGGGAGGCAGAAAGCCCCATTCCTTATCAGAACCTAGGAGGCAGTGAGAAACTATCTCAGCCTCCCAGAAGAGAGAGGGAGGTGGGTGGGAGAGGGCATGTTAGCAGCTCCTTACAAGCTTGCCTCCCATCTTCTCCTCCAGGGGTGTTTCACCAAGATGCAGGTTAATTATAGCTCAAGCCTTTGCTTGTGTGGCCTATTTCAATATGTGCAGGGTCAACATGGCTGAGATTTCCCCTTACATTGTAAAAGAGGCTATGTTCTGTTTCTGATCCGTAAGGTTTTAGGTGTCTGGGACATTCAAGGGTAGGTGTTCTGTAGGCAGAGTTGTCATCTAAGAATCTAAGAGAGAGGAGAGGGCTATACTTGATTGTTGTTGGCATAGAGCCTAGGATTGGGTTAGAGCAACTACAGCGAGTGTGAGGAATAAGAAGAGGACTTAGAGTAGGATTCTGAAGACCACTAGCATTTAAATGATAGGCAGAAGTAGAAAAATGTGTTAGGAGATTATTGTGACACAGCAGCCAAGGGAAGAGAGTATTTGGAGAAGGGATGTCAACAGTGTCTGATACTCCAGAGAAGGGGTTAGGACTAAGATGTGGCCATTGGATTTAGTCTTGAAAGTTTTCTTTTATTTTTTATCCTCACCCGAGGACATTTTTCCATTTTTGTTCAGATAGAGTGGGAGGGAGAGAGGGGAAGAGAGAGAGAGAGACATCGATGTGAAAGGGACACATTGGCTGCCTCCCACACAACTCCAACTGGGACCGGGGACAAACTGCAACTGAGGCATATGCCCTTAGTGGGAACCGAACCCGGGTCTCTCTGGTCTGCGAGCCTAAGCTCTAAACGCTGAGCCAAACCGGCCAGGGCTTAAGCTATTCTTTAACAGTGTTTTAGTTTAATTGTGGTAAAAGACATGTAACACAAAATTTACCATCTTAACTGTTTTTAAGTGTACAGTTCCATAGTGTTAAGTACATTCAGATTGTTGTGCAAACATCAGCACCATCCATCTCCAGAAGTCTTTTCATCTTGCAAAACTGAAACTCTGTACCCATTAAACAACTTACCTTTTCCCCCTTCTGCCAGCCGCAGGTTATTACTCTTCTACTTTCTTTCTCTGAATTTGACTACTTTAGGTACCTCATATAAGTGAAATCATACACTATTATTGTCTTATTTCACTTAGCATAAAATCCTCAGGGTTCATCCATATTATAATGTGTGTCAGAATTTTTTTCTTTCAAGGTAATATTTCATTGTATAGCTATACTACATTTTCTTCATTCATCTGTTCAAGGACACCTGAGTTGCTTCAGCCTTTTTGTTCTTGTTAATAATGCTACCATGAACATAGGTGTACAAGTATCTCTCTGCATTCTTACTTTCTATTCTTTTGGGTATATACTCAGAAGTGGAATTGCTGGATCAAATAGAAATTCTGTGTTTAGTTTTTTGAGGAACTGCCATACTGTTTTCCATAGCAACTGTACCACATTGCATTCCCACCAACATGTTACAAGTGTTTCAATTTCTCCACATTCTTACTAATACTAGTTAGTTTAAAAAGATGAGTAATTTCAGTGAGGTTGACACCAGAGAGCTGAAGGCTGCAAGCAGTGGGAGTTAAACTGGATCTAATTTGTGGAGAGAAGTCTTTTAAGTAATTTAGATGTGAAGAGACAAGGAGAAGGGAGAAGAGTAAGTAGTTGCATGGAGCTTAGAGTTAAGGAAGGGGTGGGTTTTAAGATAGAGAAACTGAGCATATTAACCCACCGTTAGGAAGGAAATAGGAAAGAAGAAACTGAGTAGGGATGATTTTCAGAGTGCTGTACTGTAAAAATTTTATAAAAATGCTTTTGAGACTTCCGGTCAAGATGGCAGCGTAGGTAAACGCTGTATCGCGTCCTCCCACTGTTGTAACCCAGGAGATCGACCACACTCAGACTCAATTTTTCAGTTTTTGGGGATGTTTTATTACCTGCGCAGGGACTGCAGCCAACCTACACAGAGGAGAACTGCAGCCCCGAGCTCAAGGGGAGGGTTGCTTATATAGGGCAGGGGTCATTCAAGAGTTTAACAGAGCAAGCAAGCTGCGTGTACAGAAGCGGAGGCAGTTAGCGATAAGCAGGAGGGAACGGAGGGGGGAGGGAGCTGAGGCGAAAGGGAACTGGGTGAACTGGGTCAGCATACATCTATCCTGCTATTCATTCCATTATCCAAGTTTTAAAAATTAACAAATTCGAGATGGATATCAGCGGTCAGTCAGGTGCAATACACACATGTTTAACAGTTACAGTTTTATGGGGTAAAGGGAGCTTCAGTTTCTCCCTATCAGTTTCTTTACAGAGCATGCAGGACACTCTGGCCTTGGGACCGTTTCTGTCCTCCCTTTTCATGAAGTATGTTGCTTTTCAAATTCCCAGTGAAGGTCAAACTCTGGTTAATTTTTATGGGGCAAAAGCCGTCTATAACATTCCCCATTGTTCATCTTGCTGTCTCTGAGGTTGTTAATTAGGGCAGCTCAAAGACAAGTTGGATTCTAAGGACAGTGAGCTACAACACCACAACCAACATCAAAGTTACAACTAAACTACAGAAACAACCATCATTCAAAACCGCCTGAAGTCAAGCTGAATGGAAGTCCTATAACTACGAAATTAAAGCAGCAGCCACATCCAGACTGGTAGGAGGGGCGGAGGCATGAAGGGCTGGTCCCATACCCACGTGTGGCGGATAAAAATCAGGATGATACCTCGGCTGAGAAGGTCCTTTCTGAGGACTGAGGGGTCCCCGTCCCACACCAGGTGCCCCGCTCAGGGTTCCAGTGCCAGGAAGAGAAGTCCCCATAACTTCTGGCTGGAAAAACGCCAGGAACTGAAGCTCAGGGAAGCTGAAGCGGCTGGAGCCCCAGGCAGCTCCTTAAAGGGCCCGCACACGGACTTATCGGACTCACTCCCCCTTGGAGGGGAGGCAGCTCGAGGGGCACCAGAGACATACAGGAAAGAACTGAGCTGTTTGGCACTGGAGCAAGGGCTGGAGAGGGGGCTTTCTCCGGGACAGACATGCTCTCAGAGGCCTTTGTTCCTTTGGTGAGCCCTTCCCTGGGGCGGCAGACAGCCGCCATATCTGGGACTCCAGCAACTTGGCTTACACTGGTAGCCCCACCCTGGTGACTCCCTGAGGCCCTGCTCTGCCCCAACCAACTTTCAGGCCCACCCAAGCTGTTGCCAATTGCTTAACCATAGGATTGGCCTGTCTTGGATCCTGCTTCAGGTTTTCCTAAATTCTTTCAAACAAGCAGCATCTGGTCTCAGCTAGCCCCATACCGCTCGTTAAGTAATACACAGAAACAAACACAGGGAGGCAGCCAAAATGAGGAGACAAAGAAACAGGTCCCAAATGAAAGAACAGGACAAAACCCCAAGAAAAGAACTAAGCGAAATGGAGATAAGTAACCTAACAGATGCTGAGTTCAAAATACTGCTTATAAGGATGCTCAATGAACTTAGTGAGAACCTCAGTGAACTTAGTGAGGGCCTCAAGAGCATAAAAAAGGACCAGTCAGAAATGATGGATGCAGAGTCAGAAATGAAGGAGGCATTAACTGAAATGAATAATTTACACAGATTCAATAGTAGAGTATGTAAATCCAAGAAGCAAACCATCGATTTGGAATATAAGGAAGCAAAAAACGCCCAATCAGAACAGCAAAAAGAAAAAAGAATCCAAGAAAATGAGGATAGTGTAAGCAGCCTCTGGGACAACTTCAAGCGTGCCAACATTCGCATCTTGGGGGTGCCAGAAGGAGAAGAGCGAAAACAAGAAATCGAAAACCTGTTTGAAACAATAATGGCAGAAAACTTTCCTAACTTGGTGCAGGAAACAGACATACAAGTCCAGGAAGCACAGAGAGTCCCAAACAAGATGAACCCCAAGAGGCCCACACCAAGACACATCATCATCAAAATGCAAAAGGTTCAAGACAAAGAGAGAATCTTAAAAGCAGCAAGAGAAAGGCAGCTAGTTACCTACAAGGGAGTTCCCATAAGGCTATCAGCTGATTTCTCAAAAGAAACTTTGCTGGCCTGAAGGGAGTGGCAAGAAATATTCAGAGTGATGAAAAGCAAGAACCTACAACCAAGATTACTCTAGCCTGCCCTGGCCGGTTTGGCTCAGCGGTTAGAGCGTCGGCCTGCGGTCCTGAGAGACCCGGGTTCGGTTCCCGCTAAGGGCACGTACCTTGGTTGCAGTTTGTCCCCGGCCCTGGTTGGGTCGTGTGGGTGGCAACCACTCGACGTGTCCCTTTCACGTCGATGTTTCTCTCTCTCTCTCTCTCCCTCCCACACTCTATCTGAACAAAACATAGAAAAAATGTCCTCGAGTGAGGATAAAAAAAAAAAGATTACTCTATCCTGCAAAGCTGTCATTTAGAATCGATGGCCATATGAAGGCTTTCCCAGACAAAAAGTTAAAGGAGTTCATCACCACCAAACCGTTATTATATGAAATGATGAAGGGTCTTTTAGAAAAATAAGATAAAATATATGAACAAACAAAATGGCAATGAATACATATCTATCAACAATGGAATCTACAAACAAAATGAACAGGCAGAACAGAAACATTCTCATAGATACAGAGAACATTTTGTTGGTTGCCAGATGGGAGGGGGTTGGGGGAATGGGTGAAAAAGGTGAAGGGATTAAGAAGTACAAATTCATTGCTAGACTGACAAACCTCAAAGGGAAAGGGGGTGGGGGGTGGGAAGAAATAAACCAAAGAACTTATATGTATAAGCAATGGACACAGACAATAGTGTGGGAAAAGGCGGGAGGGGGGCGAGAGTGGGGAGGAAGGGGTCAATGGGGGAAAATGAGGAACATCTGTAATACATTCTACATTCAAGAATAAAAATTAAAAACAAAAAACGCTTTTGACAAGGAATAAAATTAAGAATTATGGGAATGCTGTTTTGATCAGTCAACTGCTAGATGGATGTCCTAAGAATTTAATGGAGTATTGAATTTGGCCACCAGGTGACAGCTTTTTAAAGTTTGTGTTTTTAAGATGGCTTGATAGACTTGGAAATTTCAAGTGATGTGAAGTGATGGTAAACTCTAGGCACCGTTATTTTAGTAACTAATGAATAATTTGTCACATGCTCATTCTACTTTCTAAAGCAGCAAAAAAGGAATAATGTAAATCATTTCAGATGCAGTTGGATGATAGATGCAAAGCACAAGAAACTAAAGTTAACTCACCAGTCCTGACCGTTTTGGCTGAGCGGTTAGAGAGTTGGCCTGTGGACCAGAATCATGGGTTTGATTCCAGTCAAGGGTACATTCCTCAGTTGAGGTTTGTCTCCGGCCCTGGTCGGGATAATGCGGAAGGCAACCAATTGATGTGTCTCTCTCACATTGATGTTTTTCTCTCTCTCCCTTCCTTCTACTCTATCTGAAGATAAATGGAAAAATATCAATATCCTTGGGTGAGGATTTAAAAAAACAAAAATTAAAGCTAACTCACCATAAAATTTCAGTGCATTTGGCGGGGGGGCTAGGTTTTAACCCATTGAAATATAGGAATATATGTAAGTGAATAGTTTTCTTTGGTTTGTTTTTTTAAATTAGGAAGAACTGAATGATGCTGTGGGATTTTCTAGAGTCATTCATGCCATTGCTAATTCGGTAAGTGATCCAGACTTTTTGTTTTTAACTAGATTCCAGAACATAACATTCAAGGTGAAATGACTAGTCATTGCAAATTAATCATTTGGTTATATTTAGAGTGTTTACCTGGTATGGAGGAAGAAACTAGAACTTCATAAAGGTAGATTGTTATTACGATATGCTTCATGTGACATAATTGCTGTCACCATTTTTTAACCCAAAGCATTTTTTCAGAAAACCTTTTTTGTAAAATGCATAGGAGAATTATATTATGAGGTCCTTATACAGCTACAGGAAACTAATATTTATTCTTTTCAAAACCAAAAAGAAGTAAGATAAGAAAATAAGGAATATGAGGAGAAACAATCAGGTGTTTGAAGGTGTTTTTCCCTTAATTAGAAGAATGTAGAGGCCAAAAATAATTGTGTTGAGTTATTCTATATAACTGTAATGAAATCTTATATCTGATAGCCTTAATAATATTTGGTGTTTTAAAATGTTTACTGCAGGTGTGGCTCAGTGGTTGAGCGTTGACTCATGCACCAAGAGGTCACTGGTTTGATTTCCGGTCAGGGCACATGCCCAGATTGTGAGCCCAATCCCCAGTAGAGGGCATGCAAGAGGCGACCAATCGATGTTCTCTCTCATCGATGTTTCTCTCTCTCCCTCTCTCCCTTTTTCTCTCTCTCTAAAAAAAAAAAATTAACAAAATATAAAAAAATAAAAATGTGTTTACCATTTGTGTAAATGTGCTGAGAGTTCTGTGATATATATGGTAGACATTTTTTCTTGTTTTCTAAGTCTTTGTAAAAGAGGCATCCACATCTTGGATAGATAAATTGGGTCATGGTTCTGGTGGTTTCGTGAATTACACATCCAAGTTAGACTGCTTGTTTGGATGCTAAATTGCATTTCTTTCCTTGAGTAGTTGGCCTTGGGAGAGGAATCATTTCCCTAGAAAAGGACTCATCTTGTCCCTTAGATGTTGAACTTTGCATCAGGAAAGCTTTAAGTCTGTAGAGACTCTCTCAGAATTCTGTGGCTGTCTCACCACCAGGTGTAGACTTGTCAGAACAGGGAGGCACACTACTAAGAATGACAGGAAAATAATTTTGTGTGACCTAAATATTTAAGAGTATTTACTGGGGGTAGACGTTACAGAAGAGGGCTGGCTCACCCAGAGCTCCTTCTCTAAATATAAATAAGCAAGATAATCAGAATGGAATAGTAAGTTGTATGAGCCTGGAGAGAAAGAAAGATGTGAGTCTTTTCAGAAGTGGCTAAGATCTCAAGTATCTAGAAAAGCAGAGTTTCTGGTCATATTTGCTTATATCTTGCACATGTAGCCAGCAGACTTCAGATAAGTAGTTGACTTGATTGAGGCTGGCCCTAAAATACAGAGATGTGGGACATCAGTTGGCTTTGAGCTCTCTTGTATCCATCGTGATAGTTTAGTTAGCTGGGAAATTTGTTTACCTTGTACAAATTTGCTGTGACTTTGTGTTTCCTCTTTGTTGTCTTCTACAAAATAATTCATAGTATGTTGCTGACCTTTGGTAGTTTATGTCACAAACCACACTATGAAAAAAAAGTCCTACTTATTAGTGATGCAGACATTTAAAATTTTAAAGTCACATACCTTAAAATGCTAACAATTAAAGTTAAGCTTTATAAAGCTAGTGAACAGTAAATACTCTTAAATATTTATGTCACACCAAATTCTTTTCCTCTTACTCTTAGTAGTAACTATGTTTTCTATGGTTTGAAAACTTTTAAATTTTTACTAATTTTATGCTCACAGCAAAGTTGCAAAAATAGTAGAGTTTCTGTGTATTCCTCACCTAGCTACCTCTAATGTCAACATCTTATATAACCACACAGTTATCAGAACCAGAAAATTAACATTGGCACACTATTATGAACTAAGCTTTAGACCTTATTTGAATCTTACCAGTTTTTCCACTAAGTACGTTTTCTGTTCATGATTTTATCTAGGACCCCACATTACATTTATTTGTTATTTCTCCTTAGTCTTTTATAGTCTCTAACAGTCTTTCTTTATCTTTTATAACCTGGATATTTTTAAGCAGTATTGATTGTATTTTGTCAGATGTTTCTCAGTTTGGATTTGTCTGATCTTTTCCTATGATTGGACTGAGGATATGCCGTTTACACAAGAATTCCACAGAAATGGTGGTTGGTAATGTTGACCTTGATCACTTGCTGTGTCTTCTAGATTTGTACACTGTGAAATTACTACTTTTCCCTTTGTGGTTAATAAATATCTCAGGGGAGATACTTGAGACTATGAAAATCTGTTTTTTCTCAAACTTTTGCCCACTAATACAACATCTGTTGGTGGATTTTACCTGTGGCCATTATTATTCTGATGTTGTAACGTCAAATTTGTATTTCCCTGTTTTTCCATTTGTTCTGGGAAGAGCTTTCTCTTCTCCCCTGTTTATTTAATCCTTTAAAAATGTATATGAGTATGGACTCAGGGAAATATATTTATTCTACAGATTATAATGTAGTATATATATATATTTTTAATCCTCACCCGAGGATATTTTTACATTTATCTTCAGACAGAGTGGGAGTTGGAGAGAGAGAGAGACACATCGATTGGTTGCCATCTGCATTACCCCAGCCCAGGCCAGGGATGAACTGCAACTGAGGTAACGTGCCCTTGGCTGGAATTGAACCCGGGACTCTTTGGTCCACAGGCTGATGTTCTAACCTCTGAGCCAAACTGGCTAGGGCTGTAGTATTTTCATTATTTATTTTGTTGCTCAGCTTATACCACTTTTGGCTGTTAGAGCTTCATCATGTTGGCTGCTGTGTCCTTTGAACAACCCCCTGTCCTTTTTAAAGCACTTCATTACTTTCTGGCATCACAAGATGTTCCAGACTCATTTTGTATTTTCCCTGCCTCAGCTCTGAATCAATGACTTCTCCAAAGCCCTGGTTCCTCTTTTTGGAGAATGGTGTTTAGAAACTAAGACCTATTACTAGGTTACTGCTGTGGTGTAAACTATTTCTAAGACCCCTCCCTGGACAGAGGAAAGAATGATACATCTGTCTTTATACATATATAAAATCATGCCTTTGTACTGATAACCTCAGATTCCAATCCGATACCACAGGGTTTATTTTTAGCCTACTCTGTTTTCTTATTTGCAACCTTTCCTTGACAGTGGTAAATCTAGTTCTTATCTGCATTATATGTGTTTGTTTAAATCTGGTATACACATAGAAAGTTTTGGAGTTATTACCCATATCTTGGAGATGTTCACTGATTAGGCTACAGCATTCATGTACAGGTCTTTTTGTCTTTATCCTGACATCTAGTCATGATACTGTTTTTGTAATTATTTTCTTCCCAGACTCCTTTAGTGTGGTTATGGTATTCATTTATACTATAATCAGGTTTCATTAGTATTTGTATATCATTTTGGGTTCCCTCCACATTTTTTCTATAGTTTCAATCAGTACTTGATATTTTAGCATTGAATACGTATTCAGAATGTACTGAAACATTGAGCCAAAAGGACAGCTTGTCTGTTAGATTTGGGAAATTTTATATAGAATTATTTATTTCAAAGAATTATGTTTACCTCTATGAGTCAAGGAGTGTTACCCTGAAGGTCCACTGGGACATGGTAAAAAGCTCCATTGTAGTAACCTGATGCTTTATGTTAAAAATAGTGTACCTGGCTCTTGCTCGTTTGGCTCAGCAGTTAGAGCATTGGCCTGAGGACCAATGAGTTGTGGGTTTGATTCCGGTCAAGGGCATGTACCTCGATTGCAGTTCATCCCCAGCCCTGGTTGGGGTTGTGTGGCAGGCAGCCACTCGATGTATCCCTTTCACATTGATGTTTCTCTCTCTTCTCTCTCCCTCCCACTTTATCTGAACAGAAAAAAAAAGAAAGGAAAAATGTCCTTCGGTGAGGATAAAAAAAAAAATGGTGTCACCTAGCTAGCTAAATCTAAGTTGATGTACCATTTTGGTAGTTTAATTTTTATCAAAATGTAATACACTTATTGCACACATATTATACTTCACTTGGTTGAAAAGCTATGATTTTATTGGAAATGGTGTTTAAGAACATGCCTCATCTCATGAATTTTGACATAAATGATAAAGGAAATGAAAATTCATTCGGTCTAATTAGAAAGCTATTCTTACCTTTTAGCATTGTTAAGAATGTATCTTTTAAAATTAAATGAGTTGTTTTATTTTTATTTATTTATTTTCTTATCCTCACTCAAGGACATTTTTCCATTTTTTGTTCAGTTAGAGTGGGAGGGAGAGAGAGGAAGAGAGAGAGAGAGAGAAACATCGATGTGAAAGGGACACATCGAGTGGCTGCCACTCGCATGACCAACCAGGGCCGGGGACAAACTGCAACCGAGGTATGCTCTCCTAGTGGGAACTGAACCCGGGTCTCTCTGGACCACAGGCTGACGCTCTAACCACTGAGAAAACCGACCAGGACTTAAATGAGTTGTTTTAAAGAACATGGTTCTAAAAAGATATTTGGAGTTTGTTCACATATTATTTGATACGGCAAGGGACTTAGCGTTTTCTGAGTTTACCTTTTTTTTTAATCCTCACCTGAGGATATTTTTCTATTTCTCTTCAGATAGAGTGGGAGGAAGGGAGAGAGAAACATCGACGTGAGAGGGACACATCGATGGGTTGCCTCTCACAGGATCCCGACCAGGGCTAGGGATGAACTGCAACATGCTCTTGACTGGAATCGAACCCGTGACTCATTGGTCTGAGGGCTGATGCTCTAACCGCTGAACCAAACTGGCCAGGGCTCTGATTTAATTTTTTAACTTGAACTCTTCAATAAAAATTTAGTACTCCTGATACTTGTGGGTGGCAAGATTAATAAAAATCAGAGAAGCCCTGGCCAGTTTGGCTCAGCGGTTAGAGCGTCGGCCTGCGGTCCGGAGAGGCCCGGGTTCGGTTCCCGCTAAGGGCATGTACTTCGGTTGCAGTTTGTCCCCAGCCCTGGTTGGTTGTGCGGGTGGCAGCCACTCGATGTGTCCCTTCACGTCGATGTTTCTCTCTCTCTCTCTCTCTTCCTCTCTCTCCCTCCCACTCTATCTGTACAAAAAATGGAAAAAAATGTCCTCGGGTGAGGATAAAAAAAAATAAAATAAAATAAAAATCAGAGAAAAAGATCAATGAATCAAAACCATTTGGAGCTTTTATTTTGTATTCTGGTTTTTTAAAACCATGTTTTTATTGATTTTTTAGATAGAGAGTAGGGAAAGAGAGATAGAAATATTGATAAGAGAGAAACTGCCTCCTGCACGCCTACTGGGGATCGAGCCCACAACCTGGGCACGTGCCCTGACCAGGAATCGAACTGGTGACCTCTCGGTGCATGGGACAATACTCCATTTTTTGAGCCACACTGGCCTGGCTGCATTCTGTTTTTAACACCCCAAAATTGGAAAAGAATAAAGCCAATATATGCTTATTTGCATATATTTATAATTTTTTTTAATGTGATAAAGTAAGTTTAGTAGAAAATCCCATGGATTTTCACTCTCAAGCCCCAGTATAATTTTGTACTATAATTTTTCCTAACCTTAACTTTCTTTAGGGAAAACTTGTTATTGGACACAATATGCTCTTGGATGTTATGCACACAGTTCATCAGTTCTGCTGCCCTCTGCCTGAGGTAAGTGACTTGTCAGCCTGTGTTGAAAATTCATGGTTCTTTATTACTGAGAAAGTGTTCTCTATTTGAGTGTGGTTTCCTTGTGTGGAGCATGTTCCTAGAGAGAGGGAGTCTCAGACTCTCATGTGCTTGGTTGTACTTTGTTTTTTTATCCTCAGAGAGAGCAAGAGGGATGGAGGGAGGAAGAGAGAGAATAATCGATGTGAAAGAGGCACATTCACTGGTTGCCACCCACACAACCCCAACCGGGGTCGGGGACAAACTGCAACTGAGGTATGTGCCCTTAGCAGGAACCGAACCTAGGACTCTCTGCGGGACATTGCGGGCCAATGCTCTAACCACTTAGCAATACCGGCCAGGGCTTGATTGTACTTTTTTTGTACGTGCCCCTAGTGGGAACCGAACCTGAGACTCTCTGGTCCACAAGCCAGTGCTCCAACTGCTGAACCAAACCGGCCTGGGCTTAGTTGTACTTTTAAAAAAATATATGTTTTTATTGAGGAAAAGCATATCAAAACCACCCTCACTAATAATAAATGCCATTCATCAGAAGGTAATCTGTCCATCCATCATCTATCCACATTTTTATTTTATTTTGTTTTGGTGCATATCAAAGAATTTTGCAGAGATTACATCAGGCTGTAGATTTCTTTTCTGTTTAACTTTTTAAAAATACGTTTTTATTAATTTTTTTAGAGAGTGAGGAAGGGAGAGAGAGATAGAAACATTGATGTGAGAGAGATACATCGATTGACTGTCTCCTGCATGCCCCCCTTGGGGATCGAGCCTGCAACCCAGGCACGTGCCATGACTGGCAATTGAACTGGGACCTCTCAGTCTATGGGATGATGACATTCAGTCTACTGAGCTACACTGGCTGGGCCTGGCCAGCATTTTTGAAGGGACATATATACAGTCCATTTTAAGGGATCTTCAGTTATTTGCCATTGCCAGAGCAAGGCTAAACATTTGTTTCATCTTAATGACACTGGTTTTTTCAGTTAGTAGTGGGTCAGGGGTTCCTTGGCCACTAGTCTAGTGATTGTCTAGTTTGCTACTAACATTAAACATAGCGGGCCATTGAAGATGAGTGATACATTAGGTCAACTGAACTGGATCAGCTCCTTCAGAGATCTTGATTACCTCTTGCTAAGCTGCTTCCCTTAGATTCTCTGTTGACCTTGCTGTTTTTTCACTCTTGGAGCCAAGTCATTCCAGCGCATGCAAGTATGAGCTTCTTTGGCTCAGGAAAAGAGCTTCTCTTCTGTCTCTTCCTCTCTGCTTCCTAACTGCATGTGGCCTCCTATCACTTGTCCTCTCATCTCCTTTATTTTCTCTCCATATTTTCCATATAATTTGAGCTGAAGACACCAACATTAGTCTCTCTCTAGCTGCAATCTCTCCTCAGAACCCGGTACACAATTCATGCTGGACTCCACACATCTCCACTTGGAGATCCTTCAGACTAAATAGTATTTAAAATTTACATGTTTCAAAGAAGATATGTAACTTACACTGAACTTAATTCCTTTTTACTGCCTCTAAATTAGTTCCTTCTACTTATTCCTTTACTATAAATGATACTCAGTCATCAAGACTATTTTTTTTTTTTTTATCCTCACCCGAGGACATTTTTCCATTTTTTGTTCAGATAGAGCGGGAGGGAGAGAGAGGAAGAGAGAGAGAGAGAGAAACATCCATGTGAAGGGACACATCGAGTGGCTGCCCCCCGCACGACCAACCAGGGCCGGGGACAAACTGCAACCAAGGTACATGCCCTTAGCGGGAACCGAACCTGGGTCTCTCTGTACCGCAGGCCGACGCTCTAACCTCTGAGCCAAACCGGCCAGGGCAAGACTATTTTTTTTTAGAGCCTCACCCAACCATATTTTTCCATTTGTCTTTAGATAGAGTGAGAAGTAGAGAGAGACAGAGAGACATCGATCTGAGAGACATATCAATTGGTTGCTTCCCGCATGACCTCTACTAGGGCCGGGAACCAAACTGCAACCAAGGTACATACCTTTGACCAGAATGGAACCCATGACTCTTTGGTGTGTGGGCTGATACTCTTAACTGCTGAGCCAAACCAACCAGGGCACCAAGACAGTTTCTTTTTTTTTTTTTATCCTCACCCAAGGACATTTTTGCATTTATCTTCAGATAGAGTGGGAGGTAGATGGGGAGGAAATGAGAGAGAGAGAAACATCGATGTGAGAGAGACACATCAAGTGGTTGCCACCCACACGGCCCGGTAGGGGTCAGGGACAAACTGCAACTGAGGTACGTGCCCTTCGTGGGTACTGAAACTGGGCCTCTCTGGTCTGCGGGTCGACACTAACTGCTGAGCCAAACCGGCCAGGGCCCAAGACAGTTTCTGACATTGGTTTTGACTCTTCCTCTTTCCCCCAGATCTGGTCAGTTACGAAATCCTGACAATTTTGTCTCTATGTGTCTTACAATTGGATTCTTTTAATTTCATTTGTAAGTAGCATATTTTTCATCGAGAGTTTAACAAACTTTAGACAGGATTCCCTGTCTCACTTTAACCTTCAGCCCATCCTTTAAATCATAGGGTGGCAAACTTTTTCTATAAAGGGCCAAATGGTAAAATAAGTATTTTAGGCTTTCTAGGCTGTACGGCCTCTGTCATAACTCTCAACACTGCTATTGTAGCCTGAAAACTGCCATGGAATGCATAAAGAAACAGGTGTGGCTTTGTTCTAATAAAACTTTCCTTAAAAAATAAGTGGTAGGCCAGATTTAGCCTGCAGTCCATAGTTTGCCAACCCCAGCTTTAAACTACCACCAGATTAATCTTTTATTCCTTCTGGATTGGAAGATACCTGCTTTGGAGTTTAATCTTATTTATACATCTGCAAAGCCTCAGTTACTTCCCCTTTCTTGGGGGACATTGTCCTATCAGCATCTTGATTACTTTCTTTGGAAAAGTCCAACACAGCCCAGCTGTTAATACAGTGACTCTTTTGCTCTCCTGTCCTACTTCTGCTATGTTAAGGTTGTCACTGCTTTTCATGACAACTGTATCACCCTTTAGGACTCGAAGTCCTCATACTTGTGAGTCTGAAGACAAAAGTGATGGGTGTGAATTTGCATTGTATAGATCTAAAGATCTAATGTTTATCTCTTATTGGCCAAAGAGACTGAAGTAGCAGCTTCTCTCACGACTTTTTGACCTTGAAAGCAAAAAGGTTATCAGTAAAGAAAGAGGGAAGTATATTTAATACTGTGTTTATAGGTGTTTTGGATACCAAACAGAGTTTGGCACATAGGAGGCATTGAATATTGATTTAACAAATAAGGGTCTTCCCCCTGTGCTAGTTTTATAATCTTCTGATGTATGGCTCTGTTCACCTCACTAACCCTGCTCAAAATTCTGAACCAATCCCACATTCTTTGTTTTTCTATACAGTTGATTCTGTTTAGCTTGACATATCAAGCTTCTATCATCTGGCCCAACCTTCTTAATGTAGTCTAGCCACTTGTTACTCTTCTTATTCCTAGCCAGACTGGCTCATTTGTTCCCTGGGAAGTGCTTTGTGGCTTTGGAATATAATTTCCTCCAACTTGAATTTTCTCTAACCTTTCTCAATACTTGCTGTATACAACTTTACCCATATTACCAAGGTCCAGCTTATGCCTCTTGCAGGAAGTTTTCCCTTCCTGCTGCCTTGCCCAACAGGTAATCTTTCATTTTTGTGACCTCCCACAGAACTGTGTGCCTGTTACGGTGCATGAATTTTGTCTTTACAGCTTACCCCCTCTTCTCCTTCTAAGTGATTAGTTCATTGGATAAGGAGCGTAACCTTGTTATTACCTGTGTTTAAATGCCTAGTATGGCATTTTGTAGGTAAGCACTTGATAAATGCTACTTAGATGAAACTAGTTTTGAATCAAATTTTAGTAGAAAGAGCACATGATTTGTTGCAGAGTAGAAGTTGGATTAGGATAAGTGGTTTTATCCCTTGTATTATTACTAAGATAACCTGAATAAGTTACTTAACTTCTTTGTGTTCTATCATTATCAGAAGGGGAAAGTGAATTTCTTCCATCTATCTTTGGAAGCAGTTATGTAAATGAGAAAACCTATGTAAAATGGTAGTACTTTTACAAACACTGGTACCAAAATATGCATTTAAATGTATAACAAAGAATCTATTTTGGAGAGTATCTTCTTAATCTTCTTGGTATTTCCACATGACCTTTTACTTTATTTTATTTTATTTTTTAATCCTCACCTGAGGATATTTTTCCATGTTTGTTCAAATAGAGCAGGAGGGAGAGAGGGGGAGAGAGAGAGAGAAACATAGACACAAGAGGGACACATTGACTGGTTGCCTCCCTCATGACCCCAACCAGGGTCAGAAACAAACCGCAACTGAGACATGTGCCCTTGACTAAAATTGAACCTGCAACTCATTGGTCCGTGGGCCAACGCTCTAACCGCTGAGCCAAACTGGCCAGGGCTTCACATAACCTTTTAGAAGGCACTGATTTATAACTCTGTTATTGCAGACTCTGAAAGTAGCCACAATTCTAATTTTTTCTTACTTGTGATGCTTTGTAATGATATCAATAGATGACAAACAGTCCTCATTGCATTTTTGTTTGAGTTAGCATTGAAACCATTTGTTCATGTATTGTCCATTAATTTAACAATAGCCATTGAAAAGCTGCTAAGTTTTGCAAAGTATCTAAATATAATCTGCATTTACAGGCTTGAAGTGCTCATTGGAAATTGCAGTTTCCTATGACGCATGAACAATACTGAAGAGAAGTATAGTTACAAAGGGTCAGGAATATGACTATCAGTCTGGTGAGGCAATTATGCCTGTAAATGAATTAATTCAAAATTAGAGCAATCTCATTTCAGCTTTAGACTTCCTGATCAAAATAAACTTGGGAAATGAATTGTCTACTTTAGGTACTTCATATTGGTGCCACTTCGGCAATTTTCTGAGTAGCCAAAACAGAAATCATGTGTCTGTTGGAAAGTGTGTATTTTAGTGGTCATTTTAGCTAACATTTCAGAGGTGTTCCCAATAAAAGTATAACATAGTTTACAGTATCCATTACCTGTGTAAACCATTTATTTACATAATTTTTCTAATTCCATTATAATGATGAATTTATGTAATAGAGCTATTACTGAAAGTTTTCTACATATAATAGAAACATTTTTTTCCCTCCTATTTCAGCCATAAAATACTTAAAATTGTTTGTTTTGGTTATACAGAGGTTTTATATCAAGTCATATGATTCCCAATCAGTGAGGAAATCGTGAAGATTTATTTTTTAATCCTCACCTGAGAACATTTTGCATTCATCTTCAGATAGAGCAGGAGGAAGAGAGGGAGGAAGAGAGAGAGAGAGAAACATCAATGTGAGAGAGGCACATTGAGTGGTTGCCACCCACATGACCCCAACCTAGACTGGGGATGAACTGCAACCAGTACATGCCCTTAGTGGGAACCGAACCTGGGACTCTCTGGTCCACGGGCTGATGCTCTAACCACTGAGCCAAACTGGCCAGGGCAGGATTTTTAAAAAGTTTTTATTAACTAGAAATTGGTCTGGCAGTTTAGTTTTAAAGGACTTGTGTGAAGTATAACAGTTTGAGAAGAGACCTATAAAACTAGAAATTTATGTGTTTTTAAAACCGTGAGTGCATTAGTAAAATTGTAACAAGTGATTCTTCTGTTTTTTAGGACTTAAATGAATTTAAGGAGATGACAACATTTGTTTTCCCCAGGTAAGCTTCCTTACAGGATTTGTCTTTCATTTAAAATAGTCATCATGGCATGTATAATACAAATAGGTATATAGTAATTTCTTTTTTTAATCCTCACCTGAGGACACTTTTCTATCCATCTTCTGGTAGAGTGGGAGGTTTGTCAGTCTAGCAACCAATTTGTACTTCTTAATCCCTTCACCCTTTTCACCCATTCCCCCAACCCCCCTCCCATCTGGCAACCAACAAAATGTTCTCTATATCAATGAGAATGTTTCTGTTGTGCTCTGGCTGGTTTGGCTCAGCGGTTAGAGCGTCGGCCTATGGTCCAGAGAATGTTTCTGTTCTGCTTGTTCATTTTGTTTGTAGATTCAGTTGTCGATAGATATGTATTCACTGCCATTTTGTTTGTTCATATTTTTTATCTTTTTCTTCAAGAAGAACCATCATCATTTCGTATAATAACGGTTTGGTGAACTCCTTTAACTTTTCCTTGTCTGGGAAACTATCTGGCCATTGATTCTAAATGACAACTTTGCAGGATAGAGTAATCTTGGTTGTAGGTTCTTGCTTTTCATCACTCTGAATATTTTTTGCCACTCCCTTCTAGCCTGCAAAGTTTCTTCTGAGAAATCAGCTGACAGTCTTATAGGAACTCCTTGTAGGTAACTAACTACCTTTCTCTTGCTACTTTTAAGATTTTCTCTTTGTCTTGAACCTTTTGCATTTTGATGATGATGTGTCTTGGTGTGGGTCTCTTGGGATTCATCTTGTTTGGGACTCTCTGTGCTTCCTGGACTTGTATGTCTGTTTCCTTCACCAAGTTAAGGAAGTTTTCTGCCATTATTGTTTCAAATAGGTTTTCGATTTATTGTTCTCTCTCTTCTATTTCTGGCACCCCCAAGATGCGAATGTTGGCACGCTTGAAGTTGTCCCAGAGGCTCCTTACACTATCCTCATTTTCTTGGATTCTTTTTTCTTTTTGCTGTTCTGATTGGGTGTTTTTTGCTTCCTTATATTCCTAATCGATGGTTTGCTTTTTGGCTTAACCTACTCTACTACTGAATCTGTGTAAATTCTTTATTTCATATAGTGCCTCCTTCATTTCTGACTCTGCATCCTTTATTTCTGACTGGTCCTTTTTTATGCTCTTGAGGACCTCACAGAGTTCATTGAGCATCCTTATAAGCAGTGTTTTGAACTCAGCATCTGTTAGGTTACTTATCTCCATTTTGCTTAGTTCTTTTCCTGGGGTTTTGTTCTGTTCTTTCATTTGGGACCTGTTTCTTTGTCTCCTCATTTTGGCTGCCTCCCTTTGTTTGTTTCTATGTACAGTATTACTTAACGAGAGGTATGGGGCTAGCTGAGACCAGATGCTGCTTGTTTGAAAGAATTTAGGAAAACCTGAAGCAGGATCCAAGACAGGCCAATCCTATGGTTAAGCAAGTGGCAACAGCTTGGGTGGGCCTGAAAGTTGGGTGGGGTGGGGCCTCAGGGAATCACCAGGGTGGAGCAACCAGTCTTAGCCAGGTTGCTGGAGTCCCAGATATGGTGGCTGTCTGCTGCCCCAGGGAAGGGGTCACCAAAGGAACAAAGTCCTCTGAGAGCATGTCTGTCTTGGAGAAAGCCCCCTCTTCAGCCCTCGCTCCAATGCCAAACAGCTCAGTTCTTCCCTGTATGTCTCTGGCGCCCCTCGAGCTGCCTCCCCTCCAAGCTTAGAGGGACTGAGTTCAATAAGTTCGTGCGCAGGCCCTTTAAGAGGAGCTGCCTGGGACTCCAGCTGCCTCAGCCTCCCTGAGCCTCAGTTCCCTCTGATTTTTCCAGCCAGAAGTTATGGGGACTTCTCTTCCTGGCACTGGAACCCAGAACGGGGCGTCTGGTGTGGGATGGGGACCCCTTAATCTTCAGGGAGGACCTTCCCAGCTGAGGTATCCTCCTGATTTTTATCCGCCACACGTGGGTGCGCCTCCACGTCTCCGCCCCTCCTACCAGTCTCGATGTGGCTTCTTTAATTTCGTAGTTTTAGGACTTCCATTCAGCTTGGTTTCAGGTGGTTTTGAATGATGGTTGTTCTGTAGTTTAGTTGTAACTTTGATGTGGTTGTGGGAGGAAGCCATATCGTGTTTACCTACGCCGCCATCTTGACTGGACATTCTTTTGTTTTCTTTATTGATTTTAGAGAGAGAGGAAGGGAGAGGGAGAAGGAGAGAGAGATAGAAACATCGATGAGAGAGAACATTGTTTGGCTGCCTCCTGCATGCCCCCCACTGGGGATCAGGCCCACAACCTGGGCAGGTGTCCTGAGTGGGATTCGAACTGGTGACCTCTTGGTGAATGCATGGGACAGTGCTCAACCAGTGAGCCACACTGGCTGTGCTGGTGAAGTTTTCTTGAGTTGGCTCTTGTCTTTACTGTATTTTGGATGAACCTTGGTCACAGTGAAGTATCCAGTTGAGAGTATTCAGATGTATATTGGATATAGTTGAATATATATAGTTGGATATTGTTGAACTATCCAGTTGAGAGTATTCTGTAGTCAGTCAAGAACTGTCTAACTAGAGATTTTTTTCCTCTACTTTAAATCAGTGAGTGCCTTTACCCATTAGTGTTTTCCACAGTTATACTGCATGTTAATTTTGATATGTCATGTATCTGTTAGATCACGTATCAGCCATGTTCAGCCTATGGAGCAAGCTTCTGCATTTGAGGACCTGTTTGAAGATGGACAGGCGAGGCAGTGGAGCAGTTGGTCTTGTAGCCAGGATGTTTCTGTCCTATTATCTAGTGTTCATATTTATGTGAAAAGAAACAGTTTTCATATTAGTCTGTCTGTCTCTCTCAGTATTTAGTATTCAAGTCATTGAAACAGAGTAGTAAGAAATAACTACAATAGCATAAACCTGCCAAATGCAGATTTCGACCCTCCAAGAATTTATAGTATACAAATCTGGATAGTGGTGGTAGATGGTAACGTATTGGCAGTGCTAGACCTACAGCAATATTTGAACTATGTAAAAACATATGAGAATATTTAATTTACCCTTGAGATTGATGTAGCCCATTCCCTTTCTGGGTATAAGCATATCCGTGTGCTCTGCATATGGCAGAGTGTGGACTCTCCCACAGCCTCTTGATGAAGTCCCTGGTTGAGGGAACCAAGTTCCCAGGCTACCCTAACAGGGATGCCAGTGCCAGATTCATAATGGCTACTATGTTTAATTCCCCTGTCTACTGTTATGACAATAGGCTATTCATTTGAGTAAAATACATTTTAAACATTGATATACATTTTGTTTACCTTATGAACAATTCTTTTGTTTTTAGACTCTTGGATACTAAACTGATGGCCAGCACACAACCTTTTAAGGTATTTTAAAAATTTGAACTATCAACGATAAGCTATATTTGAAATGTTCAGAATTGTTACTAAGAGCTTTGGAATTCTCGTATATTTAAATGTTCTTTTCAAATCCATCCAAATAAAGAAAGAAAGAGAAGAATGAAAAAGATAAAAAGGAAATTAGAAATAAATATATCAAAATGTGAATAACGGTTGTCTGTAGGAGGTAGAATTCTTTTTTTCCCCTTTATTCTTTTCTCTCTCCCTCACCTGAGGATATTTTTCCATTGCTTCTTAGATAGAGTGCAAGGGAGGGAGGAAAAGAGAAAGAGAAAAAGAAACATCGATGTAAGAAAGAGCCATTGATTGGTTGCCTCCCACACAACCCCAACCAGGGCTGGGGATTGAACCTGCAACCCAGGTACATGCCCTTGACTGGGAATTGAACCCGTGACCCTTCGGTCCACGGGTCGATGCTCTAATCCCTGTGCCAAACCGGCCAGGGCTCCCATTTATTCTTTTTGAATGTAAGTTTTTATTTTTCCTCACCTGAGGACATTATCTTCAGACAGGGTGGGAGGGAGAGAGGGAGGAAGAGAGAGAGAAACATCAATTTGAGAGAGACACATTGAGTGGTTGTCACCCACAAGACCCCAACCGGGTCCGGGGACAAACTGCAGCCAAGGCACATGCCCTTAGGGGGAACCAAACCTGGGACTCTCTGGTCCGAGGGCCGACGCTCTAAGTGCTGAACCAAACTGGCCAGGGCTAAATTTAAGTTTTTAACACATTGTTGATCACTCACGAGTTAACTAGTGTTTGCACTTGATTAGCTATTTCAGTTTTTGAAACTCAGGGTAATATAGGATAATTGTATTTGTGACTCTTTGCTCTGAGGGTCAAAGTTAGAAAAACCACACCATTCTATATTCTTGAAGTAGCTAAGGAATGGAATATCTGCTGGTTCCAATGAGTGCAGCTCACAACCTAAAACTTCTTCTGGTGCTTCTAAAAGAGCTCCTTACTTGATTCATGTTTTAGGCTTTCAGGGCAACTAAAAGACCATGTTTTAGAAAAAACAGTCACTGGTATAAAAAAAAAAAATCCAACTAGAACGTGTAAACTGTGTTTTTCAAAAGGTGATTGCTATACAGTATACCACACCAAAAAAATTACTAAAATATATAAAATGTATAAAATATAATATGTAGCAGATATATACAAAGTTTATTTAAATTCATTATGTATAAATAAAGTATATTGAAGTTTATTTAGATTCTTTCACTTTCATACACAATTACGAAAAAATAGCTGGTGACATGAGATAATTTCTGCGTAAAATTGCCAGTCAACAATCATTACAATATATAATGTATTTTTGAATAGGTTACACATGCACATACTTCTTTTATCTTCCTTATTTTATGTATTTTCTAATGAAGAAAATTTAGGTAAAGGTATAATCATTTGCTATTTTGTGACGTGACTATGCAGCCGAGTGAAATGAATGTCAGCACAGTATTAGAACAAATATAGCTTTCTGGCCCAAGGTCTGTAGATATTTAGCACATCTGTACACATCTTCTTTCATATGACTAAACCTCCTATATGGTGAAAATTAAAGTTGCTGCTTTTCTTTCACACTGAATACTGCCCCCTTGTGTTGTTAAAAGAACACCAGGGGGCAGTATCTCTAATATATATTGCACTGAGATGATGAAGGCTCGTAATTCTCTTCTTACTGGTTTGTAGGATATCATTAACAACACATCCCTTGCAGAATTGGAAAAGCGGTTAAAAGAGACACCTTTCAACCCTCCTAAAGTTGGTAAGAATATAAAATATAAAATGAAAATTCCAAACTCTTTGTGATAATTGTGTATTGATTTATATTGTAGAATAAAGGTGACACTGCTCTAAAAACTACATTGTACATTTATAGATTTTGGCTAAATTAACTTGCTTATGCCCAATGTTGAATTTGTGTTTTCTGAATAAAAGTAGTCTTCTAATCTTATATTTTATGTGCATAGAATTGGATAGCCTGTTCATTGAGAAGTTTAGCAATTAAACCTTCAGGGCTTTTATTTATTAGTGCTTGGAATTCTTTCAAAACTTGATGTGTCCTTTCTGTGGTGCATGTTTAAGCAGAGACAAAGAATTGGTGATTAATTGCTGGGGCTAGAATGAAAATATACTTTTTGTTTCAGAGGAACCTAAGGTTTACAGATGAGAAAGGAGAGTCCTGACCACCCTTTCTTCCTTCAGAGATGGCTTTGGAGTGTAATAGCAGCAGTGAGAGAAACTAGAAGTAGGGAGGAATGTTTCTTTGGGCAGAGATGTTTGGCCATGGTCCCTACCTGGGTATTTGGTGAGCATTTCAGGTGTTACTTCCTTGGTTCCTGTTTGCCTGATTGTGGTGCAGATACTGTAATTAGCTTTCCATTGACTGTAGCCTGCAAAATTCTGAAGACATGGATAATAGGACTAAAGTTTCAGAAATTGACAATGGCAGGTACTATAACTATAGTAGCCAAGAATACAGTTATTTGCTTCCCTTTCTGGATAATAGTCGCAAAAAAGGAATTAAGAAAAAGGGGTGGGTAGTCCTGGCTGGATGGTTTGGGGTCATCCTGTGCATCAAAATGTTACTGGTTTAATTCCTGGTCAGGGCACATGCTCAGACTGCAGGCTCAATACCCAGTAGGGGGCATGCAGGAGGTGGCAGATCATTGTTTCCCTCTCACATCTATGTTTCTCTGTCTCTCTTCCTCTTCTTTCCTCTCTCTAAAAATCAATGAAAAATCTTCAGGAAAAAAAGAAGAGGGGTGGGTAGGGGAAATTGAAAAACTGACTTTTTCTGTATCAATATAATGGAAGTAATTGATTTTGGAAATCTGTGTTTCACCTGGTGGTAGAGTAGAGGCTATTACTTAGTTGGCTATTATAAGACTTTTTTTTAAGTTTAAAGTCTTAATATTTAGTACTTATGGAGGTTAAGAAATTCTTATTTACAGAGCCTTGTATTGATGTAAAAACAATTACTGCCTTTTCATTGATAATTTCTCTTCATACTTTTGATTTTGTTGTAACTTTTTAAATCCTCAACTGAGGATATTTTTCCATTTATCTTTAGATGGGGGTGGGGGGGAGGAACATCGATGTGACAGGAACACATCAATTGATTGCCTCCCGCACGACCCTGATCAGGGCTGGGGACCGAACTGCAACCGAGGTATATGCCCTTAACTGGAATTGAACCCACAATCCTCCAACTTCTGAACCAAACTGGCCAGGCCTGATTCTATTGTACCTTTTTGCTCATTTCCTGAATGGTTCTAGGAAATAATTATGAGTTACAATTTTGTCATATTTTTTCCATATAATATTCTGGTATCTGGTAGAGAATTTACTCTAAAGGTAGGTCACTCTCCTCAGATGTTATCCTTTCAGCATCTGTGTACATCCATGTGACAAAAGAATCATGTTATGAAATGGTCTCTCCTGTGAAGTGGCCCCATGTTCCAAGGGCTGCATTACAGAAAGTTCTGAACTATTTTTGGAGTTAGTTGTGCTCTCATCTTTAGATCTGTAAGTTTCGCAACATAGTAGAGGGCAATGTTGAGTTGAGCTATCACTATTGATTGGAGTCTTGCTTTTGGGAGGATTGCCTAGGGTGTTGATAGATAATAATTAGTGAGCATTTACCTTGTACCAATGTAATGTAAGAGCTTTACTTACATTAGCTTTTTTTTTTTTTTTATCCTCACCCGAGGATATTTTTCCATTTTTTGTACAGATAAGAGTGGGAGGGAGAGAGAGGAAGGGAGAGAGAGAGAGAAACATTGATGTGAAGGGACACATCGAGTGGCTGCCACCCGCACGACCAACCAGGGCCGGGGACAAACTGCAACCGAAGTACGCGCCCTTAGCGGGAACCGAACCCGGGTCTCTCTGGACCGCAGGCCGACGCTCTAACCGCTGAGCCAAACTGGCCAGGGCTACATTAGCTCTTTTGATCCTCACCAAAAAAATGGTGTGTGGCAGGGGTTGCTTATCATCTTCATTCTACCAAAGTGAAGGACCAGAGGTGAAGCAACCTGCCCAAGATCACAAAGCAAATAAGTGGTGAGCAGAGATTAAAAATTAAATACAGTGGGACTCTGGAATGCATGCTTAATCATTATTCTGAAATTCCTATTGTGTCCCAATGCTGCCATTATCTATAAGGGAAGACACTTCTTTTTGTGACCTTAGAGAGCAATCAGAAGAGGAATCATTGTCTTAAAGCAAGGTAGGCATGATCATAAATAGCACTGACCAGTGTGCAATGGGGAGGCCTGTGACTCTTTTTGGTAACACAACTGAGGCATTGCTCTAGTTTAGATAAAAGCCCTCATTTTCAGTGACTCTGTTATCTCATATTGTAAGGGCTTTTGTGGAAAGAGTTTTTTCAATCTATAGATTCAGTGCAGTTCCTATCAAAATAGCAGTGGTGCATTTCACAGAAGAACAGATAATTCAAAAGTTTATATGGAACCACAAAAGACCTTGAATAGCCACAGTAGTCTTGAGAAAGAAGAACAAAGTAGGAGGGATCATAGTACCTGATATCATACTATATTACAAGGCTATAGTAGTCAAAACAAAATGGTACTGGCATAAAAACAGACATATAGATCAGTGAAACAGAATAGAGAGCCCAGAAATAAACCCATGTCTATAAGGTTAATTCATATTTGACAAAGGAGGCAAGAACACATAAAGGAATCAAGACAGTCTTTTTAATAACTGGTATTAGGGCCTGGCCAGTGTGTCTCAGTGGTTGAGCATTGACCCATGCACCAAGAGGCTACCAGTTCGATTCCTGGTCAGGGCACATGCCAAGATTGTGGGCCAACTCCCCAGTGGGGGGTATGCAGGAGGCGGCCAATGTTCTCTCTCGATGTTCTGTATCTCCCTTTCCCTTCCTCTCTCTCTCAAATTCAATTTTAAAAAAGGCTACAAAAGGGAATAAGAAAAAAAAAACCTAAAAACAAACAAACATACAAACAAAACTGGTGTTGGGAAAATTGGACAAGTGTGTGCAAAAAAATAAATCTAGACTGCCTTCTTATGACATATACAAGAATAAAGTAAAAATGAATTAAAGACTTAAATGTAACACTTAAAACCATAAAACTTCTTGAAGAAAATATAGCCATTGTCATTTCTCTTAGCAATACTTTTCCTGACATATCTCCTCAGGCAAGGGAAACAAAAGAAGAAGAAAAAAGGAACTACATCAAACTAAAAAGATTTTGCACAGCAAAGGCAACGATCAACAAAACAAAAAAGACATCCCACTGAATGGGAGAACATATTTGCCAATGATACATCTGATAAGGGGTTAATATTCAAAGTTTATAAAGAATTCATACAACTCAACACCAAAAAACCAAACAATTCAATTAAAAAATGAGCAAAGGACCTGGATAAACATTTCTCCAAAGAAGACATACAGATTGTCAATAGCCATATGAAAAGACTTTCAAGGTCACTAATCATTAGAGAAATACAAATTTAAACCACAGTGAGAACACTTCACACCTGTCAGAATGACTATCATCAATAAATCAGCAAATAACAAGTGTTGGTGAGGATGTGGAGACAAGGGAACCCCTTGTGCACTGTTGATGGGAATGCAGATTAGTGTAGCACTATGGAAAACAGTGTGAAGGGTCCTCAAAAATTAAAAATGGAATTGCCTTATGACCCAGCGATTCCACTTTTGGATATATATATATCCTAAGACTCCCAAAACACCAATCAGAAAGAATATATGCACCACTATGTTCCTTGCAAGAGTTATTTACAATAACCAAGATATGGAAGCAACCCAAGTGCCGACCCATAGACGAGTGGATAAAAAAGCTGTGGTACATGTATATGATGGAATATTACTCAGCCTTAAAAACACACTGAAGTTTTACCATTTGCAACAGCACAGATGGACCTAGGGAGTTAGTATGTTAAGTGAAATAAGCCAGTCAGAGAAAGACAAATAGATGATTTCACTTACATGTAGAATCTAAAGAATAATGTAAGCGAACAAACAGAGAAACAGACTCTTAGATACAGAGAACAGACTAATGGTTGCCAAAGGGGTAGGGTGTTGGACTGGATGAAAAAGGTGAAGGGGTTAAGGAGTACAAATTGGTAGTTAGAAAACAGTCACAAGGGGTGTAAAGTATAGCATACGGAATAGTCGATAATATTGTAATAATTATGTATGGTGTCAGGTGGGTACTGAAATATCACTGGGAACACTCTGTAAAGTAAATGGTTGTCTAACTACAATGTTGTACACCTGAAACTGATATAAAATAATATGAATGTAAAGTGTATTTAAATAATAAAGTAAAGCTTTTTAAATGCTTATGTAGAATATTTCTATAGCCCATACTAAATATAATTTGAATTTGGTAGGGTAGTACACTTACCAGTCTTCATGATTTTTGATGTCCTTGGGAAAACTGTGTTTTCTTTTTTCTCTTTAGAAAGTGCAGAAGGTTTTCCAAGTTATGACACAGCTTCTGAACAGCTCCATGAGGCAGGCTATGATGCTTATATCACAGGACTGTGTTTCATCTCCATGACAAACTACCTAGGTACTCACTGTATGTGTTTCTGTCAGACACAGTGGTCTATAGTGGCTCTTAGCTGTCTACTATTTCCTTGGGATCCACTCACCCAGTTAGAAGTGGGAGGGGCTGGAGTCAGGAGATTGGGATGGAAAGGACAGAGAGTACTCAGGGAGGAACCATTAACTAATAACTGTTGTATGGTACTTGGCCCATATGAGTACCTTTTATCCTTGTGGACCCATACTGTTGATTTAAATATATTTTTGCCTGAACTTTCAGGTTTTGTCTACTTGACTGTATATAATACTCTGCTTCTTTTCCTTATTAGGTTCTTTTCTTAGTCCTCCAGAAATTCATGTGTCTGCCAGATCAAAACTCATTGAACCTTTTATTAACAAGTAAGTAATCAGTGGGTCCTAAGGCCCACATTCTCTCACTATGGAATAGCCTAGTATCTAGAATGTCAATTTGGGATGGTTGGGAGGTGTTGTTCATTTTTAGATGAAATGTTTCTCATCTCTAGTGACTGAGGTTTTTTTTTGAAAATGGAAATTGACCTTTTAGGAAAAAATTTATTAAATATATTAGCTAAAAATAAATAAAAGAAGGAAAGAAAAAAAAAAACTGCCAATGATAGTGCATCTCTTCTAGGACAAAGCACTGGTGGTTTTGCGTTTAAATTTCCAACAAGGGAGAAATGTGTGTGTGCGCGTGTGTGTGTGTGTGTGTGTGTGTGTGTGTGTGTATACCCTGACTTTATATGTGAAATTATTATTTATGCTTATAGTATTATCTGATTAAATATTGTTTCTAAGATGTTGGTTATACAAATGGCTTTTAAGATAATCTGTGGAGCTTTGATTGTCTTTGCATCCTGAGCCCTCATCTGGATAGATCCAATGAAGTACAGGCTTGCTCATGAACCTTCATTGTTTGAAGAAGTCAATGTGATTTAGGGAGAAGTCTAAGTTCAGAACATTTTCAAAGAATCTCAAGATTATTGCTTCAAAGTGCGGTTTGTACTTTTCTTGGCACAGTTGAAACTAAAGTTATGGATATATTCCTTAAGCAGGCCATAGTTTGGCTCTGTACCAGAGCCCTAACCCTTCATCTTTACTCCAACTCTCTTAGCAGGGTTGGTTCCGGGAGACTCTGGGCGAGCCAGAGAGAACAAGACAGCCCACAGGGATCACCACCACGGGAGAAAAATTATTTTGGGTTGATTACTTAATTTTTTACATTCTGTGCAACACTTTTCAACTCTATCAATGCTGTATTGGATAACAATACTGTCTCCTTAGGATGTCTGTATAAATACTAGTATCACAGTGCTTGTACTTAGGTGACATGCTGCAGAGACAGATGTTAATTCTAAACATCTGGATTGCTACAGGTTCAGAATTTGTGTAGTCTCATGGAATTTTATCATGCTGTGGCTTTTTATTTTTTTAATCTTTGTTCTTTTCTATGGAAATTCAAAAGTAAATATGTTTGATTTTCCAGACGTCTTTCAAAGTGGACTGGGTAACAATGTGGTGTATATTAGAAATTAAGTTGACTTTTTCCATATGGGAAATGAGTTCTGCTAACAACTGAGTTCTTGCTGTCTATCCAGATCTTAAGGGTACTATAGGATTTTCTTAGCTCTTACTCTTATTTCAGGGCCAGTGCTTAGCTTTTACATCTTTGGAAGGGCAGCTTATGTCATAGACTATGGAACCTACTGGTGACACTAAATATTGTTTGGATCATAGTTTTTCCTTACATATTTATTTTTTATTTTATTTTACTAATAATTTTTTTTCTTTATTGATTTTATAGAGGAAGGGAGAGGGAGAGAGAGATAGAAACATTGATGAGAAAGAAAATCAATTGGCTGCCTCTTACATACCCCTCACTGCGAATGAGGCCCACAACCTGGGCATGTGCCCCAACCGGGAATCAAATTGGCGACCTCTTGGTACATGGGTTGACGCTCAACCACTGAGCCACACCGACCGGGCTATTCCTTACATTTTTATGTGCACGATGTTAAGTTCATAGTTCAATAGTATTTTTCAAAATTTTCAACTGGGAGATGCTTGCTTACTCTCTATGAAATATCAGCTCCTTATAAAATCAGGTGATAGATATAAAGTTAGATACAGGAAGCACCTACTTTATCAGTAATCGTTATGACCAACATGAAGAACACTTAAAATAAGCTTTAATTAAAAAGCTTAACTAAGACTTTATGTTAGGTCAGTTTCTAGATCAGTTTAATATTGTTAATAATCTGTAAGACCATTACTCAAAAGAACTGGATGGTAAACACATAGCTTGATTTTAAATTGGGACATGTGTCCATTCAGATTTTTTTCCTGAAACCTAGATACAAAATATACAAAAATAGTTGAGGACTCAGGAATCCTTCTGTGATATTGCACTGAAAATTCTTGCCTAATTTAATTTTTTTGCTTTATTTTTCCTCATCTATAAAGGAAGAATATTTTCTTCATCTTTGAAAGAAAAAAAAATTTCAGCAGGATTTGAAATATAAAATAAGAACTGTTTTTATTATTCTGTATTGGAATAGCTTGGTCAAGTACAGACGTCCATTCTTAACTCATTTAGAAAATAGGAAAAGCAGTTGCTTCTTTTGATATCTTTCTTTGTTAATATTGACCTCATTCTTACTTAAATGCAGATTTGATTTATGACATTTTTTTCAAGATTACCCCTAAAGAAAAAACATCCAACAGTTGCCAAAAACATACCAAGTGGTTGATTTTGAAAATTTTGTTAATATTTCTGAGGGTTTATATGTTTTGGCATCAGGCTTTTCTCATTATACCTCAACCAAATATACATAGTCCTAACATAAATTTGGAAGAACATCAAACTGCTCACATAATCAAATAATATTTTGTTCTGCTGTCAGCAGATTTATGTTTAATAAGTAAACCCTGAAGGGAAGTCTAGTTCTACATTATCCTAAATTGGCATTTGACTGCATTAGGTATCTTTTTGGGAGCTTCATTGAGTCACTATTGAGAATATCCCAAGACAGTTTGTGTTTGAGCAGTATGCAGAGACTGACTATAATATAAGATGTGTTCTGAGCCGTATTTTTCTCAAGAATGTTCCATGAGGCTTTTGCATGGTGCCATTTTGTCTCTTTCATGGTCTGGGCACCTCCCACAAGTTGTAGAGAGGTGAATGATGGAAATCAAGATCAGACCACTGTTAATGACAGGCTGTGTGGAATGTGCTCTTCATTTATGTTGTAGGCTGTTTGGTCAGGAAATGATTTATGTTCTTTTATAATCTTTGTCAGTTATAATCAACGCATGAAAAACCAGACTTAGAGAAGATCCTTTGGTTAAATCCTCTTAGGCTAGGAAGAACTAAAAATACTCTCTGCTTTTACTTTTTGCACCACAGAAAGCACAAAATCAGACTTTTGCCTTATGTTTTATTAATAGTCATCTGTTTCTGCAAGACCCCTTTAATTCTCTTATGGATAACCTTTTATGAAGGATTTTTTTGGGGGAAGGTTATTTTCCATTTACCTCAGTTCTTAGAAGGAAAAAAGAAATGACTAAGTCTCTAATTTTGGCTATTCTCTATAAGTAATAAAATTAAAAAGAAAGAATTGAGTGGGGAGGAGGGTGTCAATGGGGGGGGGAATATCTGTAATACTTTCAACAATAAATATAAATAAAACAAAAATTGCCTGAAGTTTACTATACATAAAGGATGGCCACCTTGTTTTTAATACAAATGTCCTGACTCTGAACAGGATTTCTTTAGAAACAAGTTTTTCTGGGATGACCCTGCTGTATGTTCTTTCTAAGCTGCAGATGAGGAGAGAGACCATTAGAAGGAATGCTATGTTATTGGACAAATTGTTTCCTCCTTTGTAAAATGGGGATAATACTGTTCACCTCCCACAGAAATTATAAAGATTGAATGAGATACAAAAGGACTTTGATAGTTTGTAGAACTTAGTAGGTGCCTAGTATATATTGTTTTCCTATCTTAACATAGAAGGTTATTTAACATGCTAGGAGAATTAAAAAAGTAGATGTAGTAGCATAATGTATTTTATGTTTTTAGTTTAGTGATACAGAAGAAAATTTGTTATCACATGGATATAAAATGGGAATATAGTGGCAGCATATATGAGGTTTCATTTTTGCTTGTACCTACCTTTTAGTGTTTGCTTATGAAAAAGATGATGAAGTGAGTCAGATTGGTACATAGTGGAAGCAAGGTTTCTTTGATTTGGGGCACTTTTAAAGTTTTGTTATGCAAATGAATACAACAATTTATGGAAGGTGGTATAGGTATATATAACTGACATAAGTGTGTAGAAATGAGGAACCATTATGGTGCCTAAGATAATGCATACCAGTGTCCCGCTCCTTTTTCTCCATGGAAAGCAATCATTTGCTGGCAGCAAGTTGTTTTGTAATATGCATTGGGCTTCATATTTAACATTAGAGAGATTTTAAACTGAAAGATTTTAGGTAAACAGAATACTGAAGATCAGGGCTGTACAATCATTCCTCAGTATCCAAGGGGGATTGGTTCTAGGACCCCCCATACATACCAAAATCCACAGATGCTTAAGTTCCCTATATAAAAATGGTGTAGTATTTACATATAATCTACAAACATTCTCCCATGTACTTGAAGTCATCTCTAGATTACTTAGGATATCTAATACAATGTAAATACTATTTAAATAGTTGTTATACTGTATTATTTGGGGAATAATGATAAGAAAAAAAAAGTCTTTACTGTAGGCCTGACCACATAGTACATGTCAACACCAATGTAACATTTTAATTTTTATTTATTTATTTATTTTTTTTAGAGAGAGAGGAAGGGAGAGAGAGATTGAAACTTTGATCAGCTGCCTCCTGCGCTCCCTGCACTGGGAATCAAGCTTGCACCTGGGTGTGTTCTCTGTCTGAGAATCGAACAGGGACCTCTCAGTCCATGGGACAATGCTCAATCCATTGAACTACACTGGCCGGGCAACAATGTAATATTTTTTTAATTTTTTATCCTCACCAGAGGACATTTTTGCATTTATCTTCAGATAGAGCAGGAGGATAAGAGGGAGGGAGAGAGAGAGAAACATTGATATGAGAGAGACACATCAGATGGTTGCCACCCACATGACCCCAAACGGGGCCAGGGACAAACTACAACCGAGGTACGTGCCCTTAGCGGGAACCGAACTGGAACTCTGATCCATGGGCCGATGTTCTAACTGCTGAGCCAAACTGGCCAGGGCAACAACGTAATATTTTTAAAAAATATTTTCCATTTGAATTTGTTTGAATCCACAGAGGGCCAACTGCACTTCCTTTCTTTCCAGCCCTTTCCCTGATAGTGGACAGAGCAA